CAATTATAAAACCAATATGGATGCATGGTATCCAGCTCTGGCGTTCTACTAAACGAAGAGACGTTACCCAACACTTTCAAAACAAGTTCCTTCGAATGATCACCGATGTAACTACCAAGGAAATTCACCAAAGTTGTGTTTAATCCAGCCCAAATTACGATTTAACTAAAGAGTTCTCATGCTAAATTGGTCTGTTGGTACTTTCAATATCAGGACGCTTTATACGATCTTGTCACAACTTTCTACACTTTGAGGGCGTTCTGGGTTCGTTGAGCGCCCCCTATGTCAGAGTTATATGGTTCTGTGGAGTGCACAAAAGGTTATGAGAACTGAAGAAGAGGTGTACCTGAAATGCACCTTATATTTTCTGGTAACTGAAAAAAGCCTCTGGAAAAACTACTAAACGCTTTCTACAACAATTCTACATTTAGATTTCTTCCCAAACTCCTTCGAAGACTACTAGAGCGTTCGATACGCCTTTCGTAGCTTTTACATCCTTTCTACTTCTTTAGTTGCAGTTATCAGAAACTTCTAGTCCTTTTCCAGGGTTCTACAGGATTTATGTGTTCTGAAATTAATTTAAGAAAGCTCATGTAAGGTCCTAGAAGGTTTTCGAAAGGTTTTTAAATGCGTTTGAGAGTGCATTGTTAGCGCATCAGGAATTTGATAACAGTGATTTTTCCATTTTAGAGTTTTCTTCTATCTTTTACCATCTGAGGCCATTTTCGGAGCTTCACCGAATATCACGAGTAATTTCTTCTATTATGCGTATTTTAAAGATTTTCTTTTAACATTCTGCAGCTAAAAGATAGCTTTCATAAAATGTATCTGGTAATGTAACTTAGGTAGAAAAGTCTCACTGAATTCTTTGTTACTTAAATACTTAAAGATCTGTTCAATTACTTTGTAAAATCTTACGTTTATACACTTTATACTACGCGTAAGTACCTATACCATACCTACAGTGGCTGACGTCTTCATTGTCGTTTCCATTATTTCTGCACTTTCTTCCATTGTTTCTTACTATCTCAACAACCACCACTTTCTTCGGTTTAACTCATAGAATTACCGTAATTATTAATTCTATGGTTTAACTCCTTTTTTTTGAAAAGTGACCAATTATACGTGAAAATTATAACTTTTCTAATACCTAATTAGTGAGAAAATGCTAGTTTTTTTTTCTTTCAAAAACGGAGAGAAATAAAAAAGGTTGGATACTGGGAATAGTATTCTTACTGCCATTGATTGTTTAATTATATTCCCAAGAAGAAGTTATCAGAAATAGTTTAAAAGATACATTGAAGAATGAACATGGTTTCCATCGAATGTCGCTTTTCTGTTCTATTCCAACCGTTACTAGTTACTACATTGAGTGCATGCAACTATTTTCTGTGAAAGGAACAATAAAAAACACGCGCACCTTTGCAACAAACCATTTTTATGCAAAAAACCACAATTCTGAAATTATTTTCAGATCAAAATACTTTAAAGTAATGAATTAAGATACTATGGGTGATGGACTTAGAAAGGTACTATACTTTTCACTACAAAAAAACCATACTAATTCGGCGTTTTTTAAATACATCAATGGACTTTATGATTAAACGGAAGATTAGGGCTGGATGATTAATCAAAATATAAGAAGTAACGTTTATTAATTAAAATATTAAACTCACATTTTAAAATATTGCCGCTAGAAGATTACAGAATGTGAATAAATCATTTCTATAAAAATGTAGTTTTATTTTTCGTCCGCTTCGTCTTCGTCTATGAGTCTCTTAAAACAGAAGGGCGTAAAGGCATCCCCTGCTCCAATATACAATTTACTCATGAATTCCACCCTACATAATTAATCTCGTTAAAAGTATCACGTAATTTAAAAGAGTTTTTACCAATGCAAACTTAGTGTGTGAAGAAAGGCAGATAAGCCTTCCATGAGGACTAAAATGAGTAACGTTCCGATGGCTCAAGCCCCAAATTTTCTTTAATTACGTATTGTTAATACATTCTAGAAGTGTGACCAGTTAGAAGACTTAATTTTAAAATAATTGAAGCGAAAAGTGAAAAACGAATTTCTGAAATTTTGTAAAATGGTAGAATTTTTAATTCCAAACATTTTTCTCACCGGGAATTTTTTGTATGACAAAAATTAAGTGAGATGTAGATGTTTAAAACGCGTATTTATATGCGAGCACTACCTTGTTTTAGCCCTTTAAGCTCACCACATTTTAAAACTAAGAGTTTTAAAGGGTATTGATGTAAATAACCTTGCAGCTCTTATAAAAACCTGGTTTTTTAAAGCACTTTCTACCATAAACAGTAAAAAAGTTATGATTAAAAAAAGAACCAACATTTTTTTCGAAAAAATCTGAAAGCACAAATTGGAGCATGACGATCTACATGACCGGCATATATTTCGTATAATACACATTAGAAACGTACATGCACATTTACATGCATTCCATACACCTATACACTATGTAATGTATATAGAGGGCGATTCAAAAAGAATATTACCATTTCGAAAATCTGAAAGTTAATTAAAGCAACAAAATACAACCATAAGTGTTATATCAAAATGAAGAGTATTAAACTAAGGTTTTTTTCCACTAGAAAATAGGAAATACATAAACACTTCTTCTCTATGAACTGTTTAAAGTTTATATCAACGTTCGATATGCCATCTATTAGGATGTCCATACTTTGTTCGAAATGCACAATTATTGCACACTGAAGAACCAGTGGCGTAACTTCATTTTAAAGGCCCGTCCTCAAAAATATTTGGGGGCCCTTTCCCTTACGCTTAATATAACCGCTTGGATTTCTAATGACAACCATCTTAAAAATATATAAATGAAAGTTCACTAGAAATACACTCCAGAAGATTTGGATTCTTTAATAAAGATATCACCCTCATATCGATCTTCCGACGTTGCTTAACTCTGAACTTATTTATTCGCTGTTCAACGTTCGTTTTTTGCTTTTCTCTTGGAGGTTCCACTATGGTATTTTCGTCCATTCTGAGATGTCTGCTTTCAAAATTTCAAACGACAAGTACAGGTGGCGTATCTACAGACACCGCTGGAGATACATTTAAACTCATTTAGTTATTAAGTTTGATTAGCAATTTCTATTCTTTGTGTATGAATCCGCCTTTTTTGAATGACGGTAACTGTTTCGTCCATGCAGAGGTAAATGCTAGAGTGTTAAAAGTACTTAGTCGCATTCATCTCGAAATACAAATTCAGTTTAAGGTTACCGTATTCAGGACCTTCAGATATCTTCTGGACTGCAGAAGGTCCCGCTAATTAACAAAGTGTTTCATGAAGGTACTTTATGTAAGAGACTTCGGAATTTTATGTTTCACAAATGAGAAACGGGTGGAGTTGCTTTTAAATCTCTTTGAGCTGGCTACTTTTGAGCATATCAAATTTCGTATTAAATTAAGGTCAGATTTAAATGATATGATGATTTAAATTCAATAGTTACTTCCTCGGATTGTTAATTTTGTATGTTGTAGATATTGGTCCGGATTTTTCACCTATAGGTACCTATTTACCGCCTGTGAACAATGTTATCTGTTCCTTTAGTAACGCAAACTATGTAAATAATTAACACAAGCGTAACATTGAAGGAGTTCTGGAAATTTTCAATTTTTTTCAGTATTTTTTATATAAAAATTACATTTTTTGTACATTTTTGCCGGGGCCCCTTTTAAGTCGGGGCCCGTCCTCATTGCGTACCTTTGAGACATTGTAGTTACGCCACTGTGAAGAACTGTCGTCAATAATAGATTAACTTTTTGAGTGTAAATACTTGTTTTTATTAAACCACAATAAGGGTTGATTTTTAATGGTTGAAATATTCTGAAATAAACCCATAAAGAGCGTCTAAAAAAGCGGCAGAGCACCTCGGTGTGACCCACGGTGGTCGTGGTGTGACCCCACGGATGGATTTGACTCATTTTTAATAGACTTGTTACATGTGGCATATAAGTCAACTGTGCAAAGTTTGAACCAAATCGGTTCAAGCGGTTAACAGTTATCGTGTTCACGGACAGACGGACACCATCGATTCCCCTATAAAGATTGCATCGCTTTGCTCTGCCGCTTAATAATGTTCCAAAGCCTCTAACAATCACTACTCAACTCATCTGAACTAAATTTTACTCACATTAAGCTTTAGTATGTAGTTTTATGGGTTTAGGCAAAAAGGGGGAGTTTTCACCTCTAAAAAATGGAGAGCGCCTGTCGGCATAATGTAGACTTTGAAGTGGAGGATAAGTTGAACTTAATTCCAAATTTTCATGCAAATGGATGGAATTTTAAAAAATTGGCAGGTGTTATACTATTTCAAGTTTCGATTCCTCGACTATATAGCCGGATCTTAAATTTTACCATGCGATAACCGAAGAGGGTGGTCCCAACTAAAAAATCATTTTCCGGAAAGTTTACCAAAAAAATGCAGGAATATGTCAAATACATCGAAGAAAGCGCAAATTTAAATCCCCCAATTTAAAAGTTTTAATATTACAAAGGGTCATGCGGTATTATTTAAAGCTTATTAAAATAATTCTGTAATCGGTCTTAATTTTAATGTCGTTTGAACACACGAAGGAGGGAGAATAATGGGTTTTATTAAATCCCGTGTAAGGGGTGCGCTGAAAGTGTTGAAAGTGAGGTGACATTTGGAAATCGATTGCCCTAACAAAAATTTTTAACCAAATATAAGTTATACAATTTCGTCAAAATATTTACTTCACTGTTAATATCAATTAAAAAGCAATTTAGTGCTTCTTTGAATGATTTCATTGGAAGATAATCCCACTACTACTCAAAAGTTTTAACAGAAGCCGGATTCGGAAATTTAAACTAAAGTTCAAAGTATCAAAATATTAGGGTTATGGACGATGGTATACAAGCATTTATTTATCGTAAAACTGTATATCACCTTACGGAACTAAATAACGTTTGCAAATTGACTACTAACGATAAGTGTATACACTATAATGTAGGTGAAATGTACGAATGTCGAAACGAGTGCAGAAATTTCACAACAATAGTTCGTGATAGTTACACACGTCAAGTGCGATAGTAACCCTGTAAACAATAAAAAAACTCGCGCTATTACACATAAAGAAGGGCGAAGACCAGTGTCAGCCTAAATTGTTTTCAGTGAGTAGGTACACCCAAAAAGTGTTTTTTTACAAAAATTTTATTCAGGTCATTTATCTGAACTTAAAGCCATTGTTGGTATCTATGCATTCTACAAATGACTTATCATCATATTTCTATGCCGATACGGTATCTGCTTAAATTTATCGGCCTTATCTTTAAGATAAGGTAAAGGTTCCATCCATTCGTAAAGTGCTTCTTGAGGTGTACATACCGGTTTGATTGAAAAAAAAGGGCGGTGAAAACATACTGCATGCAACAGCGTTCATAAAATCGGCAAAATGGGAAGCCTATTTCGAAGCGAGGAGATGAGTCTGGTGCAGCTTTTTATACAACCCGAAGCGGCGTATCACACCATATCGGAGTTGGGGGAAGCTGGAGTTGTTCAGTTTAAAGATGTAAGTACTCGTAATTACGCCTCGATTCCGTTCAAATACTTTCTTGATAGTTAAATGAGGATGTGAGCTCTTTCCAACGGAAATTTGTCAACGAGGTACGCCGGTGCGACGAAATGGAGCGTATCTTAAGATACATCGAGACGGAAATTAAAAAAGATAAGATAATGATTCCCGAACCTTCGGAGATACCACGAGCGCCATTTCCCCGCGAGATGATCGACCTGGAGGTAGGTTGAAAGGGGTCAAATACAAGGTTGTACTGATACCTTCTAGGCCCACTTGGAAAGTACGGAAGGGGATATTAAGAAATTGAGTGACAATGAAGCAAAGTTGAAAACTAATCTATTAGAGCTCATTGAATTGCAACAAGTTTTGGAGAAAACGAGAGGTCTTTTTAATGAACAAGACGAGCACCGTACATCCATGGAAAGCCGGTCTTTGATACTCGATGAAGTAAACGCAAGTGGCGTTGGCGGACAGCACTTGAGTTTCATGGCTGGCGTTATAAATCGCGAAAGGGTACCGGCGTTTGAAAGGATGATCTGGCGTGTGTCTAGAGGAAACGTATTTCTAAGACAAGCCCCAATCGAGAAACCCCTTGAAGATCCCACGGTTGTATGTCCTTAACATCTTAGAAACTTGTTTGTAAACGCATTTTAGGGCCAAGATGTTTTCAAAACGGTTTTTGTGATTTTCTTCCAAGGTGAACAGCTGCAATCTCGCATGAGGACGATTTGTACCGGTTTTCATGCTACTCTGTACATATGCCCAAATGTGCGAAAAGACCGCGAGGAACTCGAAAACAATCTTAGAACCAGAGTAGAAGACCTAAATACTGTAAGAGAAACAACATCTAAGATCGCTTTCACAGGGAATATTTCAGGTTATTAATCAAACCAACGATCATCGTCAGCGTGTGCTGTCAACGGTTACAAAAGAACTGTACAATTGGTCAGTGATGGTTAAGAAAATGAAAGCCATTTACCACACGCTCAACATGTTTAACGTGGACATTAGCACCAGATGTCTAATAGGAGAGTGCTGGATACCGGTTAAAGCACGTCAAGTAGTGCAGCAAGCACTCAACGATGGATGCGTAATACACAATCACTATACGTAGCAACTTTAAATGTATGTATCCATTTCAGGAACAAAGTGGCAGCACAATACGCTCATTTCTAAACGTTGTACCAACAATGGAAACTCCTCCAACCTTCAACAATACCAACAAGTTTACCAAAGGTTTCCAAAACTTAATCGACGCTTACGGTGTTGCTAGTTATCGCGAAGTTAACCCAGGTAACTGCCAAGCTAATTCACCCAAACCGTACCGATATTTTTAGCCTTGTACACCATAATAAGCTTTCCGTTCTTATTCGCCGTAATGTTTGGCGACGCCGGCCACGGTGTAATAATTCTCCTCTCTGGCCTGATCATGGTCTTGAGAGAGAAGAAGATTATGGCCGAAAAAATATCAGGCGAAATTGCGAAGATCTTCTTCGGCGGCCGCTACATTATCCTACTAATGGGCTTGTTTTCGATATACACTGGTATGATATATAACGACGTCTTCTCAAGATCCGTGAACATATTTGGGTCCGGTTGGGTTGTGACTTACGACAATACAACCATGGTGGAGAACAAATTCTTACAGCTTAATCCAAACGGATCCTATACGGGGAGTCCGTATGAATTTGGTCTAGATCCAGTTTGGCAGTTGGCGACGAACAAAATTCTCTTCTTGAATTCCTTCAAGATGAAGTTATCCATTATATTTGGGGTTGTTCACATGATTTTTGGAGTGTGTCTTAGTGTAGCTAACCACTTGTAGGTAAATGTTGTAGTGGTGCAATTATTAAGCAAACCTAACTCGCAGGTATTTCCGCAACTATGCGTCCATCTTCTTGGAGTTTTTGCCGCAGCTGGTTTTTCTGGTTTTGATTTTCTTGTGGATGGTAGTGATGATGTTCCTAAAGTGGATAATGTTCTCGGCGAGTTATGAACCTCCGTACTCTCCTGGATGCGCGCCTTCCATTCTAATATTGTTTATTAACATGATGCTCTTTAAGAGTTCAGAGCCTCTCGACAAATGCAAAGAGTACATGTTTGACGGACAAAAAGAACTACAATTGGCATTCTTCGTTTGCGCTATTGTTTGTGTGCCTGTTATGCTTTTAGGCAAGCCCATTTATATCAAACTATCCAAGAAGCCGACGGTGCACGTAAGTACAATTCCTTTAAGAAAGTTTGCAATTTCGATTTTCAGAAACACAATGGTAACGGTAGTAACGGTGATATAAATGGCATTGAGTTGCAGACGAGTACAGCGCACACACACGAAGCACCTCAAAATGGACATGGCCATGGAGATGATATGGGAGAAATTTTGATAACACAAATTATCCATACGATTGAGTATGTGCTGAGTACTATATCCCACACTGCATCATACTTGAGACTGTGGGCACTATCACTTGCACACGCTCGTAAGCATCATAGAAAGTGTGATCATCAAAAACTCAACCTTTTTTAGAGTTATCCGAAGTGTTATGGCATATGGTTATGCACATGGGTTTTACATTTGGATTATACGTAGGTGGTGCCGTCTTGTTCTTCATTTTTGGGGCTTGGGCCATCGGAACGTTAGTCATTTTAGTCCTCATGGAAGGCCTATCTGCCTTTCTTCACACACTCCGTTTGCATTGGTAAAAACTCTTTTAAATTGCGTGATACTTTAACGAGATTAATTATTTAGGGTGGAATTCATGAGTAAATTTTATGATGGAGCAGGGTATGCCTTTACGCCCTTCTGTTTTAAGAGACTCATAGACGAAGACGAAGCGGAAGAAAAATAAAATTACATTTTTATAGCAATGATTTATTCACATTCTGTAATGTTCTAGCGACAATATTTTTAAATGTGAGTTTAATATTTTAATTAATAAACGTTACTGCTTACATTTCGATCCAGCCCTAATTTTCCGTTTAATCATACAGTTCACTAATCTATAAAAAAGCCAAATTATTATTAGTATTGTTATTGTCTTTCACTTGTATTGAAGATATGTGATGACGTCTTCTCTTTTTTAAGATCCTTAGTACCTTATAAAACAGGTTTTGGTTGCTTTTACTATGTGCTGCTACTTTTTCTCCGAATTGTTTCCATGTTTTTTCGCTAGCGGTATACTCTCCTTAACCACTTTTCTTTGATCTTTGTAGATTCTGTAGTTTGTATCGTTTTTATTCTCCAACTATCTTTTCTACATCTCCTTCTTTTTTCGGACCTTTTGATTTATTTCTTCATTCCACCAGGGTATTTGCTTCCGTGTGTTAGTTGTTTTGCACACTCCACGCACTTCCGCAGCTGCCTCTATAATACTATTTTTGAAAATACGCCACATCTGCTCCACAGTATCATCTACTGTTAATTTTTGCCACCAGTAAATAGTGATTGCTACTGATTTCGGGTCTCCGCCCCACTCAGCAGCCTTCTTCCGTTATGATTTCCTATGACTGTTGTATAAACCGCGTCTTTTCTGTCTACTCTACCATTAAAATCCCCCAAAATGCATATGTTTCCTGTAGATCCTTCCGTAACTTCGTTTAATTTATCCCAAAATATTTCTTTATTCTCCGCTTTGTCGTTTTCATTGGGTCCATACACAACTATAATGCTCTATATTTCTTTTTCTATTTTTATTTCCACAGCCAATATTCTTTCTGACACTTTCTGCTTTCCATTTCTATATTTCTTTTTTTACTTCTCTATGTGTTAGGCATCCCACTTCAGCTGCTGATCTTTCTTCTTCATATACTCCGTTATATATTAACACATGTCCATTTTCGAAATCCTCACTTCTTCTTTTCCGTTATTACCAGTATATTTTCATGTTAGCTCTTTTAAATTCGTTTGCTAACTCATTTTCCTTTCCTGTAATGCTCCTCGTGTTCCATGTCCCCATTTTCCAAAGTATTCCATAATTTTTCTTTTTTTTACCTATTCATTGCCATTTTTCATGTCCTTATTGTCGTCTTTATATGTTATCCTTAGTTTTTTGGTGTCGATGATTACTTTTCTTGCCTGTTCTATGTAAGAATCTCTTGTTGGTGATCGTTTCCCAGTGGCTTTTCTGGTTGCTCTCTGCTTTGACTGATGTTTAGATCTTGCGCAGTGAACGTCTCTCCATTCATGATTAATTTATTATATCTAATTTGTGCTTTAAAACCCTTTTGTTATGTTTCTTGCATGTGCTCTATCAACACTTCCTTTTCTTCGGGGATGCCCTTTGTATAGTCCTAGTCTATCCAGATATTGGTTCCCTTTTCTCCTTTCTTCTGCCCTGGTCTCAGTTTAACCAAACCAGTGGGTTTCGTGTCCCTATCCTCCGCACTTCATCAAAATTGTACTTCCACTCCAATGTTCCTTAAGACTGTTATCACTTATCGTTGGGTGTTCTCTACTTTTTCCTTTTCTCCTTCTTCCACTCCATAAATTATTATGTGCCTCCTTCGCACTTCTCATGTCTCTATTTTCCGGTCTTGCTGCATTATTTTTTCCTTCATCAGTTTGTTCTCTTCCTTTATTGCAGTGTTTTCTCTAATGAGCTGCTCGAATTTATTGTCCATCGATTGTAATTTATTTGATATTTCACTAAACCTGCTTTCGAGTTTTTCCATGTTTAGACTGTTTACAGTTTCCTTTAATATTTATAGTTACTTAACGCGCTACAATGTAAGATCGTAAGATTTTCCCGAAATAGGAGGAACTATAAGAGATGTGTCAAAAATTGGTATTTAGGAGATTGAGTTTATACCAATTTCTCTATTTATATCATTAAAATTTATACGTACATTATTTTAAAGCAATCATTTTGTTATTTAAATCGTACTTTAAAGTATTTTGATCTGAAAATAATTTTAGATTTATGGTTTTTTGCATAAAAATGATTTATTGCAGCATTGGAGTAGGCCATCTATATTTTAGATTTATGAGGTTGGATTCACATGTGAAGATGTGAAATGTGCACATTAAATAAACGGCATGTAGTAACGGTTGGGATAAAACGAAAAAGTGACATTCGATGGGAAAAATGTTCATTCTTCAATACATCTTTTCTCATTAATTTTTCTTGGGAATAGAGTTAAACAACCAATGGGGTGTTACTATTCCCAGTTTCCGACGGCTTTTATCTCTCGCCGTTTTTGAAAGAAAAAAAAAACTAGCATTACCTCATTAATTAGAGCTAGGTATTAGAAAAATTGGAATCTTCGCGGTAGTTGGTAGAAAACAGTTCCTTTTTTTTAGACCTTTAATTAGAATACCATGAAGGGTAGAATACCACATTTTTTTTTTAATTTTAAGAATTATTTTTTAATTTTAAGAATTAGAAAAAATGTGCTATTATTTGTGTTTTGTCCGTCTGTCCGGCTCCGGCCCACTTCTGTTTAAAAAATGCGCTAAAAAGAATGGCTTCTCATGGTAATTTTGGTGTAGCCTGTCCCTACATTTAATTACAGAAAATCCATCTGAATCACTAACACATTTCAGTTTTATTCAATGGTTAAACACGTAGGTATGATATGAATCCTATAGTGTGAGTTACCGTGCGTGTTAAAGTTTGGCCTTTGCCCAAAAAGTCTTTATTGGGGAACTATAAATAAAGATAGAGTGAAGGCCCGCCGATCCCTTTTGAAAAACTACCCCAAAACCACCCTCAAAGGTGCATTTTTTTAGTTTTTCTCAATTTTCTCAGAAAATATTTTTTCGGAAAAATGTCAAGAGCCCTAATTTAAAGAAAATAAAATTTCCTATCGATTGGTATATAACATATTTATTTTCAACAAAAAATAAATTGTAAAATAACCCTACAAATATTGCAAAAATACATTGGCTCTATAATGACACTTTATTCAATTTTCAACAGGTGAAACATTGTTAGTTCCCTAATACCCATGTACTCTGGTACACTCTTGAATATAAGAAATATCAAAAAGGCAAACTTAAAATCCATCATATAAAAAAAACAACACAGATTAAAAATAACTGCCACGCGATTGCGAGCGTATTTATATCCTTTCCCCCCATAATGCGAAACATTACTGCAGATTAACAAAAAATATTTATCAGTCCTACTAAAAAAACGCATCCCTAAAATGCACGCTGACTAATTATTGTTTAATTATGAAATGTCTTGACAACATCGCTTCGGCGCCCATCATGATACAACATCGCGCGAAATAAAAAGGAGAGGTAGGCAGTTTTATGCGCTCAATTTGTATAAATATTAGACGATAAGAATAATGTACCTAACTAGAGTTTGTTGCCTACTATTACACTTACCTATAACTTCACCTTCAAAAACTTCTTATTCACACAACTAGTGGGATCGGATAGCATTAAAAATCATAAAAATATTTCAGTGCTGGCGACGATTGTGAACTTTTGGATTTGGGTACTGTATATGCCAAAGATTAAAAAAAGCCCCAGACCCCAAAAATTTCGGACTCCCCGACCCCAGTAATGACGTAATCGAGGACGTCATCTAAGTAGGAACATACGGTACTCATCATATCCTCATCCGGGCGTCTTCCCATTAGCAGTTGCTCAAGGATTTTATTAAAATCTTAAAATTGTTATTAGATGATTCTATTAAGGTATATCATACATATCTAATATTAATTTTTACTAAAAATATGGTTTACAAAGTTAGTCTATGTCTATGCATAGTTTTCTTTTTATCTTTCATTTGATGACATCACTACTGGGGGTAAGAGGTTCGGAATTTTGGGGTCTGGGGCGATTTTTGATCTTTGATATATGCAGAAACTATATCAGCAAAAGGCATGTTGCCGCGAGCACTGAAATATTTTTATGCTATCCGATCCCACTAAACAGTTTATACCGTATAATACAATATTATCACCTATCAGCTATCTAGTGTGGTCATTCAACTAATAGGTACTGCGTTCAGTAATGATCACGTAGGCCCACTGGTGCGGCTGAAAATTTATAGATGACAAAATTAGTCTTAAAAATAACTGAAATTACTCAAAATAGTTACTTTTGTTCAAAATAAATAGACCATTAGAAGTTTAATTTCTATTTTTATTAAATATGGGTAGTATTAGTCCAGCTCGTCACATTTTTTATTTTTACCTTAATTTTATTACCTTATTTTCGATTAGTTATTAAGTGATTATAAACATTGCATACACCAATCGATAGGAAATTTTCTTCTCTTTAAATTAGGTCTCTTGACATTTTTCCAAAAACTCAATAGTTTCCGAGAAAATTGCACAAACATAAGAAAATGTACCTTTGGGGGTGGTTTTTCTGGGAGTATCTCTGGGCCTTCATCCTATCTTTTTTCCTAACCCCCCAATATACCTATTTCCAGTGAAGGCCAAACTTTAACACGCATGATAACTCACAACTCATTTTTATATTGGATTTAATACCTACCGGTAATTGTCAAGGGCTACAGAGCCACGAGGGGCAAGGCTAAAGAGCCACGGGGGGAAGTTTTGTTTCTGATATTGTATGCTGTCGGAAAGGAGTAGGTAAGTACATACTTCGCGTTACCATTCACACTGCAAGACGCCAGTAGTAAGAGCATCGCGTCAGTCCTCTCCCAGGAACCCAACTCGGCCAACGAAACATATTAGGAAGCATGGAAGCAAAATGTGCTCAAAACCTTCTTTTGCGTATTTTTTTCGGAGTTCCAACTAATTCACTTTTAGGTATTTAGACCTTTAGGTCCTTATTCAAAGATTACCGTCACGTATCGTTCCGGAAAAGACTAGAACGAAAGAGCATGTAAGTATAACGAGTACGCAAAGAATTCATCTTACTGAATGACGTAGTTTAGTTTGCCCTTTGTTGTACCTAAGGGGTTCCAAAACACATAAATCGAAATTCCCCGCGTTGTTTGTACGAAGTTATTAAGCAAATATTTTTGCGCACTTGAGGGTAATATCGATTAATCATCTTACTGTAATCAAATATTGAAATTTCATTCTTTATTTATTTACTGCCGTTGTGGAAAATAACACTAGAATCGACTCCAACCGAAATTGCTGCGGAAAAATAATTACAATTTATGAGGGATTAGAATTGTTAATGGTCAGTGTTAGTGTTTGCATACAAATAACAACATTACCGCCGGAATAATTCGAAGGGTCGCCGTTTATAAATTTAATTACAAAAATTCTACTATTAAACATAGTTAACACCCGCATCTATGCGTTTATTTTTGTTTAAATGTACATTTAAGGGTTGTAGAGATTTTTTTCAGTTCAGAGAACGACCGAAAAAGCAATGAAGATTAAAAGCGGCCCCATATAGTGTATGGGAACACATCTGAAAAGGGTCCTGAACAATAACATAGTACAACTTAACTGTGAAAATGGGGTGAGCACTTATTTGGGGCGTCCAGTTTGCATCAGGCATGCGACGCGTACCTTTATTACAGTTGACGCCAATCGTTTCTCACAAATTACAGAAAGTTTGTTATAATTTATATTTACAGAATTGTTTATGATTTTGAGAGAAAAATTGAAGGACGTAATGTCATGCGCAGATTTGAGCCAACCGTAAAATTTACAACATTCAATAACCGCGCGTTGGTTCGTGTGTGCGTAAAATTCAAGTTACCGCTCGTTATACATTACGTATTTAAATTATTGTAAATTTTTTATTGTGTTTATGGATTTTTAGTCTCTGATCTTAACGTTCCAAGTGCTCGGATAGGTATGTTAACGCTTCAGATTTTAATTTTACTACGACAAATGTGAGCGTCTTATGCACCTATGTTTGATAGTGCAAATAACTATTTTATCGTGTCCGTGATAATGTCATTTAAGTGTCCTTCTCGCCTTATATTAGTTAATCTGTACCCTACACCTTGCCAATCACAATTTTGCCGAAGAGCTTTCGTAATTTTCCTTACAAAGCGAGTAAGAAAAGAATTTGCGCGTATGGAAATTCAGCTGGTGCGTTATAAATTGCCAAATTATTCAATTATTTTTTATTTACTTAAACTTCTTACGGTGACCGATCCTTTATGTAGTGCGAATAAAATTTAGGCGGAGGCTTCCTGAACATTAGAATATTAGAACAACGCGTGACCTAACAAAAGGAGTTGCCAGAAGGAAATATTCGCTTTCATTCCCTTCTTCTAGTTTGTATAAAATCAGGGCTTCTTTGTTTTCTCGTGCTTCCTGAAATTTTATATTGGCGACCACCTTAATTTAATTATACTTGATCTTGTTAGAACTAAATCAAACTTTGGCCCAGGTCGTATTAACTGGACCTACACAGTGAATTGTTAAATGTCAAAGGACTAAGCTGCTGAAATAGAAATAAGAAGGACCAAAAAAATAATTTACACATTTGAGTTTCTGAAGGACCTTCCACTGAATAATTTCTAACACAGAGAGACTCCGAAGTATAATGTTTTAAGTTAAATATGCTTTGCTTCAACTGCATTATGTTATTATACTCTTGAGGTTATACGCGACGCAACAACCCTTCCAATTCTACAGCAATGGCTGAGTTCATACCTATTTGACAAAATTTAAATTTTAAGTGATAATTCAATTATTATCATTATCATGTGGTGGATAGTAAATCTAAAAAAAGGACAGAAAAGTACCGTCAACGAAATTAAAATTCGCAAAGGTGTAATTATTCAGCATTCAAATTTAAATTAATGCAAATCATTGTATTTTGTGAGAATCTAATTTTGGGTGAGGGGTTACAAGCTCCCTGACATCCCCCTAAACAGGCGCTAAAATTTTAACCTTGTAAGTTGTAACCTTCTGCGACTGATAAACAAATTTAATCATTGTCTTTATATGTTAATAGATTCTTGTACGTATCAGTTACGCCAAATTCGACGTTTAAATCGGTAGTTTTGTATATTCCGCACAATTTAATTTTTGTCTTACTGATAAACCCACATTACATGACAAACAACATAAAACTAGACGAAACATTGATTCGTAATGCCCAATTTTACACTTGAACAGAGAAGTACTTCAGTTACAGGGTGTCTATAAAAAGGAAATTTGTGACTGCTTCCTATCTAAAATTTATATCAAGGGCTATCTAATTGCAAAACACAAGAAAAATTAATCTCCTTCATATTAAATTTCGCACATCGTGTTCCCTACTAACTTAAATAATGCTTCATAATTATTTATTCCAAAAACACTAATAAAATACCCAAATTTTTGTGTTTACTTTTAAGATGCATTGGGTTTTCGACTACCCGACGGACATTCCGTTCGGACCAAATTTCCCCCTAATTGGGGGAATTACAAACCAGAATTTTGAATTACCCACAGCAAAAGTTGATTTGAAATATTCAAATATTCAACATTCGAGTAGTTTATATAAACGTTAATTTTGGGATGAAGTAGTGTTCTCTTATCTGCCAAATCTTCCAAAAATGATTGCAATTCCTTTTTCTTCTTTGGCGATGTGCAATTCTTGATATTATTGATTCTTTCTGGGTACAAAAAATTTTGATTTTTTTATTATTAACAAAAAAGTATACAACATATACAAAAAAAAACGAAAAAATGCAAATAGTCATAAAATCATTAGTACGCGCTCAAGAAAATGTACCGTGTGTCCTATTTTGGTTGAGACTGCAGTGTATTTCAGCTGTTTTTAAAGATAAGAGACTTGTGGTTTCCGCGACCCTGTTCCACTTTTTTGTGAAAACAGAATCAATCCAACTACGTTTGTTTCTGAGGTCTGAGATATAGGGTGAACATGAAAAATTGGACTTTTTGTGATGTTGTCATATCTGACTACCCATGTAAGATAGAAAAAAGGTAAAAACTACCTATTTTAGGTATTTTTACGTACCGTTTCTGAGAATGGACCCAAATTTGATATTTTTTAAATGCGACACCTTGTATTGTATTGTATGTTAACGTCAATTTTGTTGTATTCTTTTTCGTGATTACATTAATGTATCGTCCTATATTTATTTACCATTTTTCAAAATTTTGAAATGATGTGTACCGTCAGCCATTTTTGTTGATTGGCATCGACTGCTTTAGTTACAATGGAGACAATAAACAAAACAAAAATCTTCATGAATCCATGGCCTACTATTTAAAGAAGTAAAAAATAAGGTTTTTATTGTTTCATCCCTAAAATTAAAAACAAGTATAAATTGTGCACAACTCTTGTGCAGATAAAACGCATTTTTTTAAACCGAAATAGGTTTTGTTTTGAGATCACCAATGGATATATTTCTTGCAGACGTCTCAATCGCCCTTTGTGAGTACCCTCTTCCGACAATCCGTTCTTGAGGTATAAGGGAATATACCCAATCACGATAAGAGGTCGAGGAGGAGGGCTATGGTTGGTAGAAATTAATTACTTTCGTTGAGACCTTCCATTAGAGCACCATGAAGGATAAAACTAGTTCCACTTGCCAGTTTCATCTTCTTGCCTGTTTCCGTTGTTCCACCTCCTCGACTCCAAATTAGATCTTGGATTCTTTCCAGTGTTGAAACCAACTGTTGAAAGGTCTTGCCTCCTGCTTCAATTAAAATGTGTTCCACTTCTCGTGGGAAATGTCGGGCATTAGATTAGCATGCACTAGCTACTTTTCACGAATGGCAGGCTCTAGGTATGCTGTTTCGCTGACCGAGTACCACACGTGGTTTACATAATTGCTGGCGCGGCGGTTGTATCTTCTGGGCGTTGCCAATCGGATTTTTATTTTATCTTGGATCATTTCCGACCAGTATTAATTCCCTCAGAAAATTTTCTTTCTTGAAAATCTTTCCATTCTCGACTATGTAGATCCGACCAGCACCGAGCATTACCTTCGAGGAACTCCAATAAAAGAGGTTCTGATGATTTCGGTCGAAATTATTCAAATAGCTTCCTAAAGTTTTTATAAAATGAATCGTATGTACACCTATTGTGGTGGCAGTTGTTTCTCCCAAGGGTCGATTTTCTTCAATTTTTGCTTTGAAGTTCCCAATATCTGCATCATATTGGTTAATCCTCTCTTCATTTTTCCTCATCCCCTCTTCTAATTCACCTCGCGCTCGACAATGTTCATGTCTTTTTTGCATCTCTAATATTGTGTTGGCTTTGGTCATTTATTTATTTATTTAATTATTTATTTATTTATTTATTTATTATCCCTCTCTTGTTCTGGGCCCTCAAAAGGCTTGTGCCCAATTGCAGAGTGACCCGTATAATGCTTTTTAGAGGTGCCTCTGCAGAAGGTCTTAAGTTGTTCTATACTACTCCGGTATTTACCTTACTAATTAGGAAAACTGCAGGAAAACCTAATTCGGAGTAACCGGCAGAATGCTCGAAACTGGTCTAAGGTAATTCCCATCTCTGCCACAGATGAAAAATTCACCTCCACCCAGGTTCGAACACCCGACCTCCGGATTTATAGCCCAACGCTCTACCATTGAACCACAAAGTCGGATATGGTCATCCAGCCTATTGGTAATTCTATGGGTGTGGATCTCTAATTTTTCTTCACACTGGTGCAGGCTTTCCTTTGTCTTTGGTTGACTTCTGCCACGTACAACCTGGATCGATTTTCCTTAATTTCTCCTATAGTTTCTTCTCTTAATTTATCTTGGTTAGCTTTAATCTTCTTTTCTAACTGACGACGGAAGCCATGGATACCAACGCACACCCATTCGGCACGAAAGCCTGGAGTGCGAGGTGTCCAAGAAATACCTTCCCTAGCCAGCTTGAGTCACACGCACCCAGACTTCCGTAGACAGCAAATGAGATTTGAACTGCTTATGAAACTTATCCAGAACACACGGGTCGAACTGGACGAGGCACTTCCAACGAATGTTGGAATTATATGAAGACAGGAATTCACTAGCTTTGGGACGAGATTCAAGAAGCACAATACGGGATGATGGTAAACAGCGAATTATTTGAGATTTTAGAGATCCATTACGAAACTACAAAGGACCGCGCAGTTCGCCAAATCATGGTCTGCTATTTAGAGAAGAATTAAATTTTCACGAAAAAGGGGTTTGAAAATATTGTTTACTGCTGAGCTGGTCATGGGTGAAAAATAATTGTCGTATTAAAATTTTTGCCAGTACCGGAGAGACTAATTTCTTATATGCTGCAATTTCAATCCTCCCCGTCGATACAAAACTGGACGGGTTTTTGGATTTTTTCCTAATTTTCGAGAGGTGTCAATTTTCGTTGGGACACTCTGTATCTTAGTTTTTTTCTAATCTTAGCATTTTCTAACATCCCTTTCCACACTGACACCTTTAAAAGTGGCCTATGCTTTACCCTTGGACAAATCGAATTGGTTTCTAAAATCAGAATTAATTGCATCATGATTGCGAAAAAGTTGTTTGTTCCGGTATTTATTTATTAGTAAGTAACAATAAGCTTCCAACGCCATTAAATAGCATTACGGTAGTTAAACTGGAATGATTAATTTACTACCTGCAGTGAGTAATATGTCGTGTCTAAACAATAAATAATCGCAGCTTAACGCATGACAATAATAGGCGTGAAAAGTTACTGCTATTGCGTTCAACGAAAGGACACGCACGCGAAATAAGATTTTGTCGTAAACTAACTCTCACGAAATTGTACTATTTTATTACTTTTAAGATTACTAAATGTGCTAGAAAGATCGAAAGCGCGAAAATCAGCTTTTCTATATAGGATGTTGGCACAAAAATATTACATGTGCATATCGTTCAGTCAGTGGTGTACAGGAAGTAGGTAGTTTCAGTTCGCATCCGATTGTATCTTGAATATTTTGCAATAAATAATGCACCAAATTATTTTTGTTTGCCATATGGGGCGATGCTATGAAGCTCTGGATAGGACACATAGGAAATTATTTTGTAAATTACAGTTGTAACTGGGAACTATACTAATTTATAGTTGTAACTGAGAATTAGTTTATAATTTACAGTTGTAATTGGGAATTAAACTAACCGTTGTAACTATATACTACCTGCGTCAAGGATAATTCCCAGTTACAACTGTAAATTAGTGTAATTGACAATTACAACTGTAAATTATAAACTAATTCCCAGTTACAACTGTAAATTCGCATAATTCCCAGTTACAACTGTAAATTAGTGTAATTCCCAGTTACAACTGTAAATTAGTGTAATTCCCAATTACAACTGTAAATTATAAACTAATTCCCAGTTACAACTGTAATTTACAAAATAATTTCCTATGTGTCCTATCCAAAGCTTCGTACGATGCACTGAGAGGAAAGACATACCGCATATCGCGCACAGAGGAAACTGACTCAAAAATTCGGAAGGTTGTTCGCGGTTGATGCGCAAAGAGAAACAATTTGCTCCCACATCTCAGATTTCCTAAAACTATGGACTACGAAATTGTAATCTTCAAAATACATTTTTTTTTCGGTATCGGCCTTCGGGCATAGAAATATCGGCAAAAATTCCATCGATCCCTATATAGTGGACAGACCATGATCATTTCCCACATCAGTGATATGTTATCTCTATTTTTTATTTTAAATTGTTAGGGTGAATATGGATGTGAGAAATCCCAGTTTTCAACCAAAATACCATTTCTGATAAAATTTAATACAAAACTCGTCAGTAAAATGACACTATTTGACTCGGAAATTAAAGTACTCGGCCCCAAAGGGGCCTCGTACTTCAATATTTCTTCGCAAATAATGTGTCATTTTCCTGACTTTTATGTAAATAACTATTATAATCAAACCGTTTTATCAACGGTACAAACCACATACATATATGCGAGACAAGCCGGATTCACGTTTTTGATTTGTCCACAATGTTTGCTAGAATAATAATCTTGTTGTGGCGGTATAGAAGTTAAAAAAAACATTTTCTGAATAAAGACAACATTTGAATAATGTAAAAACGGGAATTTCTAAGATAGGAATACGCACAAAAGGAAGGTATGATAATTTTGTAAAATTGTTATCATATTTGAAGCAAGTAACGCAAATTTATGCATGAATTGTGTCTATAAAGTGGATAACAGGAAGGTACGCTTAATGTATTCCCGTTGTTTTCATAAAATATTCAATAACTGGATAACGTAAATATTCTTCGACGGAAGGGGTAGGTACTTTAGCTATTTTCGGCTTCATCGAAGCTATGACAACACAATTTGAGTGTTACGTTTAAAAGTTGTTGATACAAGGCAAAATGATGCGTCAATCTAAAAGCCAACTTGGTATTATTGTATGACGTAGGTATATCGAATATCTAATGGTGCAAAGAACAAAAGACCTAAACGAGTTTCCGAAGCAATTCAACTTTCCCATTAAATTTACCATCGATTTATAAACCTACTACGACATTTAACATCACTTCCAATGATTGACTTGACATCCTGCAAAGTTTGATGAGAGCTTTCCCAGCAGTATAAGGAAAAGCTTCTAGGGATTCATGCGATTTTATACGCTCTACAAGGTGTAAAATTTTCATCATCGTTCGGTTTCCGCAACTGGAAATTGAAAAAAAAACAGAAAATCGATTTTGTTTCACTTCATTTTATGAAAGACAGTTGAAGAGAACATTATACCAAAGCTTAATTAACCACAATTAAAGCTTGTTTGTCATCGGATCATTTACTTGAACACTCTTTTTGTCGCGCTCCTTGTAAATGAATAAGACGAAGACGGTCACAGCTTAATTAATCCGTTAGAATGTGCGAAATCTACATTTTAAATTACCCTACAGTATAGAAAATATGTTTTAATTAAAGCTGCTCATTTGGTTTAAATTTGTCTTTCATTTGACACTAACCGTTTAGTGCTTTTAAATTAGTATGTTTAATCTTTTCTATATTACTAAACCTGAAACAGAAATAGAGCCTGGAAATTTCTAACAGTGGATTATATGAAATTTACCACAAATTAGGAGTTTTATATCAGACCATTGGCAACCAAAGCTCGTTGGATGGTAGGTTAGGAAATTAACTTTTAACAAAATACAACAAATTAAATCTGAGCAGAGACTAACTGAAAATAAAACAGGAAATGTATATCACCTTTAACTATTTACACAATTTGCCAATTGAGTTTTATTACAAATTGCTCCAAATACCAATATAAATAGCAACGACTTGCTCAAGTTGTTATTAAAAAAATGAGTCGAACCCCAATCAAGCTAAAGTAAAAATATCACTCCCTACGTCAATCAATAGGTAAATATAAATTTATCACAATTTACGAGTTCATAAAATTACTATTCTGATTAAAGTAGAGACATTGCAATTTATTATGCTGATTGAGTAAATCCTTTGTCGTGACATGCAATTAATTTGTCCAAGATGTTAATTCAAGAGCATCGGTTATATTTAGCAAATTGCCACTGTGTTAATGGGTCACAATTCGGACTCGATTCTAAATATAGTTTTTGATTGCTTCGTTCGCATTTAATTACAATGAAAAACCAGACACCCTGTATATTTAACATTGACCTCCTTGGCACCAAACGAAATTATGTGTTACAAGACCGCGTGTCAACGGCAATGTCAATGTACACTTGTTTGTAAACATAACATTCTTTATAATTAATTCGGTGTGGGTGTTCCCAATTGTCGAGGTCTTCCAGTGAATTTTAGTATCGCCTCTGTCTGTCGGTTCGTACGCCTTCAAACCCTCCCTATCTTGTCGCCACGGCTTGGTAAACCAATTAACCAACAAAGCTCAATTGAAATTAAGTGCCCGAGTTTCTTTCTATGTCTAACTTTACAACGAGACCAATATGGCCTTCCAAATCCCAATACTAAGGATATTATTTATTTACCGAAAAGCAAAACAAGATTTCTCTTAGTTACATGTCAGTATTTTCGTGTAATTAAAAATTAATTTTCAAAAAAATTGAAACTGTAGATTCGAAGGATATAAAGTTCTCATTTATCCTTGATCTCCTAGTGTGTAGTGATCTTTAACATTTGAAACGGTATTATAACGCATAGATCATTGGAAAAGCATTCCTTTGGTAAATTTGCCATTTTCTGCTTACCAGAGATCTTCGAACGATCCTTATACAGTTATACGTCTTCTAGTATAAAAACATACAACAAACATAGTACACCCTACAGGCGACCAGTTTTACAGTGGACGGCTACCTGCGATTGTCAAAGGGAAAAGGATCCAATCAACAATATTTTTTTCGCCAATAGCCCAATACTGATTTTTAATTAGCTAAAGATTTAATAACCAAATTAGGGGTTGAAATCACTGAGTTAAAACAACAGAGTCAAACCAATCCACCTTATCTTTGCTAGCAACTTCCGTGATAACCGATGATGCGTTGGAAGTACCCGTCCAAATGGAAAACCCGATCCGATAAAAGTTATGTAAATAGCATCTATGATGGTATAAATTTGTTGAAAAATAAAAATAATATTATAGTAAGATTTTAAGTGCTGCTGACCAAACTATACAACGGAAGTATCTTCGCTTTGAACTTCCAATTAGACTAGTAAGGGTGAGAAAGATATAACAATTAAATACATTCGATATTAATCAAATATCAAGACTATTCAAGGATCTTTTAAAGATTTTTACAATTCTTTGCAATCTTTTACAAACTTCTTGAAGGTATCGGTTACATATAGGTACCTCTCATGCTTTTACAAAGTTCCGAAAAATGATCTTCACAACATTTTTATTTATTCTTTAAAGATTTCTCTCTTGCACGAAAATTAACGTATCATTGATTATAAATTTAGTATTTTTGTACAATTTCCGAAGTTGTTGGTTAAGTTGTGGCCCAAGTAATAGATTTCATATCAAGGTCAAAATAGCCTTTGCCCAACGTTATCTTTAACTACTCGTTGTTGATATAATAAAATAATGTTACGTGTTATGTTGTAATCTTCAACATGTAATGATGGATAAATTTGCAAATTATTCCACCCTGATGATGGCAAATCATATGCATTGATTAATTTGCTGCTTTTTATGCTGAATGCACTTTTTATTCCCTGTAACATTGTTAAATCTAATTAATGAAATCAGTTTTTCTGTTGTTTTAGGTAATGACTCATGATAGAGACAATTTTAGTATGATGGATGCAGTAACATCGTTTGGAAAAAAAAATCATTTGTCACTATCAAAGAGCTTGGCTTTTGTGTTGGCACTGTTGTTTATCGGTTGCCTGGTCGGCACGGGGTTGCTCGTGTACCACCTATCCTCGTGTACGTCGCCATCAACAAAGGTCGTTGAGCAAGTAGAAATATGCGGCCAGATGCCATACGAAAACTTTAGTACGACTACAACAGAAGTTCGGGAATACAGCACAACCACAACTGTTGATCCGGTGACCACAACAGTGCCAAAAGAGAAAATAGTTGACATCAGACTTCCTCGCTCCATCCTGCCAGATGCTTACGATGTAAAGCTCATCCCGTTTATATTGGAAGGAAATTTCACTTTTAAAGGGGAAATAACTATAAGGGTGAATGTTACTGAAGCCGTTAGTAACATAACTTTACACTCTGATGAGCTGGAAATCAACCAGAAGTCAATCACCGTCAACGATTTACAAAATAACACTTTCGCAGTTGAGAAAATTGAGAACGACACCGAAAGACAATTTCTGATAATATTCCCGAAGGAGAAACTCCAAGCCGGTCAATACGACATTTACATCGAGTTTAAAGGAATATTAAATGACCAAATGCAGGGGTTTTATCGAAGTTCCTACAATGTTGAGACTGAAGTGAGGTAATTGCCTCCATCTTTCCAATCGAGAATTTTAAGTCTTTGTTTTAAAGGTGGATTGCGGCGACCCAATTTCAGGCGACGGATGCGAGAAGAGCGTTTCCATGTTTCGATGAGCCGGCTATGAAAGCGAAATTTAAAATCAGTTTAGCGAGGTTTAAAAATATGTCGTCGATATCCAATATGCCTAAAGTGTTATCAAAGCCCGTGTAAGTTGAGGATTGTTCGATTTAGTTGCATTCATTTTCTTTTATTGTAGCGATGGTCTTGAGGATTACGAGTGGGATGTGTATCAAGAGTCGATACCGATGTCGACGTATCTAGTCGCGTTTGTTGTTTCCGACTTTGTTAGTTTAAAAAGCGGCAATTTTTCCGTTTGGGTTCGGCAGGGCGCCCAACCTCAGGCGAGGTATAGCTTGGAAATTGGACCGAAAGTGTTGAAGTTTTACGAGGACTTTTTCCAAATCAAGTTTCCTCTTCCGAAAGTCGATATGATCGCGTTACCAGATTTCGCAGCTGGAGCAATGGAGAATTGGGGTTTGGTTACTTATAGGTAAGTTGAACTATTTTGGAATTTTCGGTATGGAAGACGTTAGTAAAATGAAGGCATCTCTTTAAATACTTCAATTAATTTTGTGATTATTCGAACTCATTCTCCGATCCGGAGAGAGTGTTCATGTCAGTTTTTTCTTTTCCTATCCAAGATTTATTTCAGGTCAAAATTTGCGTAGTAAATTCTTTGGAATCTTCAGAAGTTGGCGAGGCCACTGACTCTCCCAAATCATTCATTTAGGTAAATATTGGGACTTTCCTTGTAGCTGATGCCGGAAGTACGAGGAGAAATTATAAAAATTTCAATTCTCAATTTTGATTTGCTTGACTTGAGTGTTTGAAAAATTCGGAAGAATATTATATTTAATAGTTTTTGAAGATCTTTTAATTTCAGCCAAGTTTACAAAAAAATATATTTAATAAATACATTTAAAATCAATAAAATAGTTAAATTCCATTAAATACACTTAAATCCCCTTCACTACACATAAATTCCGTTAAATAGATTTAAATCCCATTTGAATACACCTAAATCCAATTGAATTCCGCTAAATAGCAAAAAATTTTAAACTTTCATACTGATTCTACTTCAGAAGATACGCAACCGTGCATATGATTGGTAAAAAAGTGCCTTTTAAAAGTATGGCTCGAGTTTAGTTTATTTTACGGATTAGGGATGTAGAAAAAATTCCAACATTTAAGCGAACGATTTATTGCACGTGAATTTCTTGAAAAAAGTTATTAGAGTATCCACGGGTGTAAATCTACAGACACCTTTAAAAAAGAAGGATGTTTGAATGGAACAAGTTCTATACGATCCCATAGATCTAATCGGGATATGGGCCCTTTCAAATCACATACCGAAAGATAAACTATTCAAAAATGATATAAAGCAAAAATTCCGTAATTTTTAGTGCCATCAAAAAAGCTTCTAATACTGGTGACATGTGTTCTTTTTGGGTCACAATGGCACAATCAAAATGTGAAAATATTCTCTCGCTTAAGAGACACGGGGGAAAATCAAAAATTGTCAATTGTTTATTACAAAAGTACTTGCTGAGTAATTTGCTGTTTTCAAAATAAGTACATATACGATGTCTCATTCATTCATCTTAGAAATACTCGTACAAACACAATATCTTCTAGGAATTTTCTTGAAGCATTTTCCGAATATTTTTGTAATCTTCTCAGAACTCTCTTCTAAAGTATTCATCTCCCCACAATTTTCTTAATGATTTCACAATATCCGTCTTAGAACTTTTATAAATCTATTAGATTCCTTAGAATGGCCATTGCATCTTCTTAATGATTCCTAGAGAATGTTTTGAAATCTTCTCTCTAGTCTTAGCATCACCTTAGGATGTTAGGATCTGTATGAAAGTTCGTAGGATTACGCGACTCTAGAGTAGTTTGAAGCCTTCCTAGACATCATACAATTAGCATTTTTTATAGAATCTTCTCGGCATATGTTTCATTATCATTATCACATGGGATTTTTTATTAATCTCTATAAAACCTTCTGTTAGATTCTTATTTTCAAATACTCGTACACTTGGAATGTTCTTCGGATCGCCTTAGCATCTTTTCATAGAATCTGTATAGAATCCTGAAAATTATTTTCAAGTTTTTAGGTTTGTCGCTAGAGGGCGAATTTGATGCAGCACATATTGCTTTAACTCATAAAATGCGAAGGGTGGGGGTGTTTCTTTTGTTTCAAATCCAACTTGGATGAACATAAATATTGCAATTTAAACTTGTGCATGTGCGTAGTTTCGTCATATCTCCGCTTAGGAAACAGATATCAAAATGCGGTTTTCACTGATATTTTCATTTTTTTCATCTTATTTGATATCATATTATAATAATTATATCGTTCTATTTGAATTTTTTTTAGAAAACGTGCCAATGCCAAGTGACTGTGGATGTCAAACCGCGCCCTCTACCATAAAAACACTCTTTTAATGTAAAATCAGGTTAAACTTTCCAATAAGACCAAAAATCGGTTAACCTAAACTTAAGTTACACTCAATTCATGTTCCTCTTCCCCACCCCTCATATTTTATGAGCTAGCGAGAGAAATATTTGCTGCATCAAAATGATGCAAAATGGCGGTGCATGTATTTTTTATGTTAAAGTATGAAGTATATTCCGAACAGACTTTTATTAATTTTTTCTATGGCGATGATTTCGGGCACTTACGTCCCATCGTCAGGCCTAGCTGAAATATTGTTTTGAAATAAGAGGACAATATCCGTCGTATTGTTTATACATGTATATTTCAAGAAAAAATCAATTTTATGCTTAACCATTAATCTTGAGCCTTCTAGCGGCAAGCCTAGAAACTTGAAAATAATTTCCAGCGATTTTTCTTGGCCGCATTTGTTAAAAAAATATTTTCCCCAAGCTGTGCAATTAACGGTTCCATAGATATGGCCTGTGACCCTTATTAATAGGACACCCTGTACATATTCTAAAATAACAAAACTTTGAAATTGTTTTTAATATTAAAATATGATCTATTAAAATAAAATTCGAAATATTGGATCGGATTTTGCAATTCTAATCAATTTTGATATTAATTAGCGATTTTGTTGAGAAAAGGCTTGTTAATTCTTGTGCGGTTCTGGAAAACTCGCAGTGGTAAATTCGCCCCCGGAAACGAGTTAATCTGCACTTTGGGTTTGAAGGATACTTTTCTGGTGGCGAATTTTCCAAGGGTCTAGGTAGGTACATCGAGGGCAAATACTGTGGAGCCTAAATGATGTTGTGGGAGAGGAGGATAATCAGGAAGCGAAATTCTGTATACTGTAAACCATCTCTATCTATCCACCATAATAACCTCTGGTAGAATTGTATCTCATTATGAGAGCCATTTAATAAACGCAAGAATTCGGGACAGGCTATATCTAGCAGTTATTTCAAAGGCAAGTTTTATTAACGTTTCGGGATCGAATTTACTGGAGAGAGTTTTCCCGAGCGTCTAATTATGATCATGTTTACAGGGATTTATTTATTATTATACATTTTGCGTATTTTTATGACAAATACAACAGATGTTAACTAATTCCGTCCGCCCGAGGGTTTAAGATCTTAGCACTGAGAACACGTAGAAAGAAGTTTTGTTTTAATAATTAGCTTCAAGACATAAACTGGACGAAATGAAAAAAATTGCAGAAAAGTTTTGGTGCTTGTGAAAGCGGGCTCTTTAACTTTCTTATTTTATTTTAAATTGGGTTCATGTACACGCGCCAACTGCATTAAAAATTAAACATTTTTAGATTAAGTAGGTAATAATCTAAACATTTTTCTACAGCAAAGCATAAGTTTAATTAATCTTCGCCCAATGGGATTTTCTATAGATAGATCTAATTTTGTTATAACGTAACCGTGATTCCAAAAAGTCACGTTATTATTAGGTATACTACGAAGCCTATGCTTCCATAAATTATCGACACGCTTTTTTGTGATATGCGAGATCTCGATTATATAATTTACGAAAAAATACAAAATGTGTGAATGGGTTAAAAATAAAAATTGTGTCGTTAGTTGAGATCGAAGTTCGAGCAATTTTTTTCAGTTCACTGAACGAACGCACTAGTACTAAAATACACCCTGAGCGTGTTAATACGCCATCAGTGATCCAATGTAATTGATGTGCTGGATCATTGTCAAAATATCTTTCACTCAATTGGCAATATCTGTGTCAATTTCCTGGCACTTTTAGAGCTTGTGAGTGACTTCATTTATCCTTAAATTACGAGTGACACAATGAATACATTTATTAACTGTGACCGTAAATCAATGAAATTTTTAGAGAAACGGCAATGTTATACGAAGAAGGCGTATCGAGCAGGTCGAGCCTTCAGAGGGTAACAAGCGTAATTGCTCACGAACTTGCTCATCAGTGGTTTGGCAATTTGGTAACACCCAGATGGTGGACGGATATATGGCTGAATGAAGGTTTTGCTAGTTACATGGAGTACATAGGCACTGACGCAGTAAGTTTCACCCTCTCTAAGACTAGGAATAAGCATTGTTCTTCGAAAGGTGCAACCCGATTGGAAGGTTATGGATCAGTTTGTGGTACTTGAACTTCAAAACGTTTTTTCTCTCGACGTTTTGAAATCATCGCATCCAGTTTCTATTAAGGTAAACAATCCTGTGGAGATAAACGATATATTTGATAGGATCTCTTACTCGAAAGGTAAGCGATGGTTTTTTAGACTAGAATACTGTCATACTCTGCGTAGGTGCTACCATCATCAGGATGATGGAGTATTTTCTAACATCTGAAGTGTTTAGAAGGGGTTTGACAAATTACTTAACCAGCAGGTTGGTCTCTGAGACATCTGTATTGCACGAAGCTTAATCTCGTGGTTTTCAGGATGTATAGCAGCGCCGAGCAAGACGATTTATGGCATGCGTTAACAGAACAGGCCCACAAAGATGGAACTTTGAAGAAAGAACTGGCCGTGAAGCAAATAATGGATACATGGACCCTGCAGACAGGTTTCCCGCTTGTTACCGTGACGAGAAGCTACGACTCCAAGTTCATCAGTTTTAAACAGGAACGCTTTCTAATCGGTTCAAACAGAACAGACCCCGAGTCTTCGTTATGGTGGATACCATTAACGTACGTGTCGAAAGATGACCGGGAGATCAAGTCTGAGTGGTTACCTGTCGAACCTGAAATAGTCCTCACCGACGCTAAGCTCGACAAGAATGAGTGGCTGCTAGTTAATATTGACCAAAGGGGTTACTATCGGGTAAACTACGACAATAAAAATTGGCAGTTATTAACGCAACAGCTGTTGGATAAGAATGGATTTAAGAACTTCAGTTCCACAAATAGGGCACAATTGCTGGACGATTCCCTAAACTTAGCGGCGGCCGGTTTCTTGGATTACGATATAGCGCTTAATCTCACACGGTATTTGACCAATGAGCGCGATTGCGTTCCGTGGATGACCGCGTTCATTGGTTTGGATTACATTCAGGAAATGTTCATGAAAACTGCCGATTTTGATAAATTAAAGGTAAGGCAAAGGTGACGACTGATGCTATTCAAATCGTTTACTTGCAGCTGTACTTGTCATCCTTGCTAAAAGAGGTGTATGCGCATGTCGGATTTGAGGATTCTCCCAAAGATTCCCAGCTTACGGTGTATAACCGTATGGAAGTGTTGTGGCGCGCTTGCCTCTTGGGTAACATCGATTGCATTAGGAACGCGGTGACTTATTTCCATAATTGGCGAACCGCTCCCAACTCGGATCAGTACAATCCGTATGATTCCCATAATCGACCATGGCACAAAATGATTACCACTTTTCAGAATTTCACCAAATCAAAAGAATGTAGTCTATTGCGTGGCAATCCGGGCCGGCGGGCAGGAAGAATGGGAATTTGCGTGGGAGCGCTACCAACGCACAAACGTCGGCTCAGAAAAGGAAACGATTCTCTCCGCTCTAGGGTGCTCGCGCGACACTTGGATTCTGAGTCGTTATTTGTACTGGGCCATCACCGAAGGTTCCGGCATACGTAAACAAGACGCACCTCGTGTCTTTGCCGCAGTCGCGAACAACATAATCGGGCAAGATTTGACTTACAAATTTTTCAAAAACAATTGGGCCCTGTTGAAGAAATCGTAAGTACGACTCCCGATAATTTGATAAATTGAGTAAACGCTGCAGGGTTGGTTCGTCGTTATCACTGCTCAATTCCATTGTGAAAGCCTGTATCTCGCACATAAATACCCAAGAGGAGCTTAATGATGTGAGTCAAATTTTCAATTATTTGTATCTTTACCTTAAATTTCCAGCTCAAAACCTTCGTTAGGGAAAACGTTGGTGAGTTCAGCGTTGTGGCCAAAACCATCGAGCAATCGATAGAACAAGTTGAGGGAAATGTACGATGGATGAATAGTAATTATGATAAGATCGTGCGGTGGTTAGCTAGGTATCAAAGGAGCCATGATAGCGCGTAGGTTTTCTGGGTTTAGGTAATTTCACAGTACTACATTGCTTTGTTTTAGTAATAATCGTTGAGGTACAAATACTTAATTTATAATATTAAATAAATTTTCTAGTATAAGTTTTTATATAATGATTTTATCGAAGGCCAATTTTATACATTAATTACATTCTGGATGCGTTGTTCTAAATGTAATAAAAATAAAAGATCATAAACCTTTGTTTAATTTTAAGATGCAAATGTAGAAAGGTTTACTAGTTGTCACAGTTACTTCAAAAATTAGTTTATTATTAACTAATTAAGAGATTAGAAACATTATTTATTTTTGTAAATATGCACAAACTTTAAATCGAGTGATTTAAGATCCCTAATAATTTTTTGTACGCCGTCGACTCAAGAAACGTCTGGCGATTAGAAGTGAGAATAAATGAAATGCAATCACAATTTAATAAGCAGTGGACATTTATTTAGATTGCAATAATCGTAAAATTTCAAAATATGTTGATTCGACAATCAAACAGATTTTTTTAAAATAAAATTACACTTTAAATTGCTGTAGCTAAATTAACGTACGTTGCGTTGTATAAAACAAGCTACAAACGCGTCTGTGATTTTGAACATTTCAATTGTAATTTGCCGAACAAAGAAAAGAATATTAAGATTATAAAATTATTCCGATACGCACGTACAACTTGCGTATCCGATAAATTTGTTCCAAAACGCACGCTCTGGGAGCATTCGCTCCATGTAAATTTGCCACTGAAAAACTCCTCCGAATATTTGTCTACGAAATATTGGCATCTGGAAAGGTATTCCCTTTTATATTTGCTCTCAGTTAATTCCCTGGTTAATTCTTTATATATTTTTGAATTAAAATCATTTTTTAACACTGACATATATTTTAAACCGTTTCTAAGATTCATTCTCGTGTCTTAAGTTATCTATCAAATTCGACGTCGTCAATGGTAACGTCCTTTATACACTATTTAAAGTACGCTGTTTAATTTTTTTTGAAATGTTGTTGATTCTATTACCATGGTTACTACCTACGTCAATCTTGAGAAACATTTTTCTCTCATGATAAAATATTAATAAAAGACGAATTCGGATAAAATATGCTTCAGTGTTATAAAAAATCTCGAAGGTAACACGGTGTTTTATAGTTTAAAGTACTCTACCCGTTAAAACTTTGCTCCCTTCGGTCGCTCGGATTTTAATAGCCATTGTCCTTTAAAGTACCCATAAAAAACCTAGTTATCTTAATAGCTATTACCATAGCCTCTATGCTATTACTCACTTTTTCCCCATCCACAAGACGTATAAATCCTATCAAGCGGCCGAGCAATGCGATGGAACTTAATAGGAGAATCGATGGTGTCCGTCTGTCCGTGAACCCGAACTGCTAAACACTTGGTCCGTTTAGGTTCAAACTTTACACAGTTAACCTATATACAGGGTGTAGCACCTAAGATCCCTCGGATCATAATTACGTTACCATAGAAGATACCGAAAAAAGTCTTAGAGCAAAATTGTACGCAATTACCGCCGGCATATTTCTCTAATATATCTTTGATCACCAGGGGCGTGCCGTATTCCAGTGGCGTATCAAACTTGCATTTTTTTAATGGAACACCCCATATTTTATTACTGATTTGGAACGTACTTAAAAAATACTTTTTTTTTTGTTTTTTTTGTAACACGTTATAACAGCGATTCTCAACCTTTTTGTAATCGCGACCCCCTAGTACTTAATCCTATTGTTAATGCCATTGAGGAACCCAGTTAAATGAACTACACGCTAAACTAAATATTTTTTATTTATTGTTAGCGAGTTGAATACATACAACAGTTATGTAATTCCCTTATACGGAGTGTCAATTTTAAAACTATGCAGTCGGCCATATTTTCCAAACTAAAGAAGATATTGAAAATCGCGCAAAACCGTTTCGGGGGTACCGAGGGTGAACCAGAATGACGTTATCAGCAACAACCCCCCACCACCCCTCTTAACTCCCCAGCAACCCCATACTTGTGACACATCGTTGGAAAGCTACTGAAAAATGCTTTCCAGTGGTTCCAATAAAGTCAATATTTATTAAGACAATTTAAAAAATTTAATAATTAACAAAAAAAAACTAAATGTTGACATTGAGCGATTTATGTTGTTTGTTATTGTCTTTAGCACTTCCAGATTTCGTTAAAAATCCAAACAGATTTGATTGCTTGCTCATTTTGAAACTAAATAAATTAACCACATCACACACATAAAGTTATTGGGAAAATTTATAGTTTTGGCTACCCAAAGGTATAATTTGTTTAAAGGGGTGCCATTTGAAATTTTTAAAAAATATGACATTTGACGGTCAATAAAAAATTTTATTTCTTCTATAAAGTACCTAAAAAAAAATTATGTGAATGTAGAAGAGGACCTATACCTCAGTCCAAAAGCGTCCACGCGATTTAGATTCTCTCCAAAAAATTTTCGAAAAACTGTCAAATTTTGACGAAAAGAGGTTATAACAGCGAAATCGTTAAAGTTAGGGGTTTAACAAGTTACATAAAAAAATAAGTATTTTTCAAGTATGTTCCAAATCAGTAGATAATAAAATATGGGGTGTTCCATTTAAAAAAACGAAATTTTGCAAAATCGTTTTTATTTCTTACTGAAGTTATTTAAAAAGATATTTTGAATTAAATACACATTATTATGACCACTTTTTTCCCTCTACAAGATGCTACTTTTAATTTTAAATCCGACGCTTCGTCACCGGTTAACCATCATCATGAACTTGGTTGTTTCTTATGGAAGTCTTTTTTGCTTTTTATGCCATTTGATAGAGAATTTGTTTCTGATTTCAAAAATGTAAACATCACGGTTTTTTAATATTTCTAAAATATCTTTTTTTTACCTAGAAAATTTTTTCTTGGGTAGTGTACGTACGTATTTCTTGAGTTTTTACGAATTAATAGCGTCATTTCTGATTAAAAGATAGTGATGTTTACATTTTTGAAATCAGAAAAAAATCAAATGACACAAAAAGTAAGAATGACTTCCTTAAGAAAAAACAAAAATTACGTTGATGGACGGGAGACGAAACGTCAAAATTAAAATTTAAAAATAGCATCTTGTAGAGGGAAAAAAAAGGTCATAACAATGTTTCATTTTCAGTTATTTCGAAATATCTTTTTAAATAACTTCAGTAAAAAATAAAGCGATTATGCTCCGAAAGTAGTCGGAATATTTTCAGTTTCCAAACTGCATTTTGTTAACCATTAGAATACGCAACTTTGTCAAATTTAAACTACCGACCTATCTCTTAGAGTTCCCGAGATCCCCATGGTGGCCCTCGAATTTGAATCAGCCTGTATATAAACTCTGTAGTCAAAAGGGTTGGAAACCAAAACTAAAGTGAAGCCTGGTAGCAGAACTGAATATCATTTCAAAATATATTTCACACGGCCTCATGTGCAATTGAATTAAAAGGGGTAACCACCCCCCAACTAGAAAACATAGATGTAAGACTTGATTCCAAGGTTTTCAAAATTTTGAAAAAATCATCAAATGCTAGAGTCGAGTAATTTTCTTATTAGCTCTTTTCTATGCGTTGTAATAGCTGAAATTTATTTATTTATTTATTTATTTATTTGCATACTTTACAACAGGTTACATAATACCCAATTGTAGTGTAATGTTGTTCATCCTTCTATTTGCATTAAGCTTACTACGACAAATATTAATGTTGAGATTTTTGGGTACGTATATGTATAGGGTATCTTCAGTACAATTTAAACCCCCTAATAAACCAGCTTTGAGAAAGTTAATAAAAACATATGATCCGATGTCACAACATTTTTATTAAAGGTTTAAAGTATAAATAGGAGTAGACAAAGTAACCACCTCTATCATCAATTAAAATTGATCGTGAAACGTAATTTGTAGCTGTGGTTACTCGCCCATTCCCATCACGCAATCTTATCCACATGTAAGATAAATTCGCTTAAGACGACACGCGGCAGTACGTTCCCCTTCGAAAACTCACCCCTACGCCAAATTCGTTGCTGGAAAATTCGCCAATTGATCTCAAAGGCGACGTATCCTCAAACTCGAGCCTTATTTTCTAATGGAGCAAGTTCTTAGCGAGCGCACTTTCTAGCGGAGAGAAATTTTTCTTGAGAGCGAATCATCTAGAAAGAATTTTAAGGGAGCAAATATTCTGGGGTGATCCTTCCTCGAACGAATATTTTGAGGTCTTATTTATATTCCATAGGCGTATCCCTCGGAGAGGACGAATATTCCCGAATGTCGCATAAGACTCCGAGGAGAATCTTCTACAAGCGAATATTTGTGGGAATATCTGTGGAGAGCCACGTGAATATTCCGGAAAAAATTTTCTAAAGGCTAATTTTGTGGTGGTTAAGGGTATAAGAGCGAAACTTTCCGACCTTCTGAGGGTGAATATTACGAGGCTGATCTGCCGGATCAAGTTTTCATGGGGATAATATTCTGGGTTGAAATTTACCCAGAAAAATATTGCATAACACCCAATGTTTCTATACACGTGCATAGAGTAGTATGTCCGATCGCACTTTTTGAAACTAATTAGAGAAAAGATATCTTTGAATTAATCGAAAGAGCTCGTTATCGAGGTAAGCCAAACACATTACTTTTATAGCGTTTGCACAATAACTAGGTGAGATACGATCACACGCAAACGTCGCAATTCTTTACATATAGTTGATGGCACTACTCGCACTCGAAAAATGTATGCGTTTATAGTCGCAGCAGCTTTAATCAGTTTTTTAGGCACGACGACGTGGTGTAAAATGGAACCCATTTCAAACAATTTCGTAACCACCAGAATGTCCATGTCAAAATGCGTGGGCCAGGCATCGGCTCTATTTTTTTATGAAGGTGACTTAACTGTATTATCGTTATCTATCACAGAAGTTATGAACCTGGCACCAATCGCTGGCGATGCGTTAGTTTTGGACGAGCTGTTTACCCGGAGCAATATGACGATTGTTATAAAAAAAACAAACGCTCCCGCTGGAGAATCTTACATTAAAACTATTAACAACTACATTCTGCAAATAAGACACCCAGATGAATTTGAGCAAAGCTTACAGGTATTGCGAAGTTTGCCCACGTGGAACTCCGAAGCGAAATTCTTAATCATATCGGCGGCCATCTTTTTTGATCCCAAATTTGTGGTTGACGAAATTATAAAGCAGTTATGGAGAAAGAAAGCCTTGAACGCCGTTGTGATGTTGTCCGAACCAAACAGCAGCAGTACCTTTAATGTTTATGCTTGGAACCCGTCTTGGGAATTCACTTGCGATGTTACTCCGAAAGATGTTGCGATTATTGACCGTTGTACAAACGGAAGTTTGATGGTTGGTAAAAACTGGTATCCCGACAAAATTCGCCACAATTTAAAAGGGTGTCCATTAAAGGTATTGGCGGTCATTTGGCCACCGTACGTGTTACCGCCAGTACTTGGTAAATTTATAAATGGCATTGAAGTCAAGTTGTTAAATACTATAGCGGAAGTAATTAACGGTTCCATACTATACCTGTATTCCAATACATCCCAGAAATGGGGGTACATTCATGAAAACGGTAGTGCTACAGGACCTCTGCTGGAGTTGAAAGAAGAACACTGCGATTTGCTTATTGGGTCATTTTCTGCAACTAATGAACGAAGTCGCTATTTTGATTATGCCATCTACAGTTTTCGCGAGACGCTCACTTGGTGCGTCCCTCACGCCAAAGATGCGGATAAATGGAAAAAGCTGTTAATGGTGCTACCACTTGAAATCTTTGTTTCCAACTACGTTCTTTGCATCGCTGTTGGTCTGTGTCTGTGGGGACTGTGTTCTCTTCAGTCTAATGAGCCAAACACTTACAAAAGTTTCGCCGGAGGATTACAGAATTCTTTCGCAATACTATATAATATCCCAGTAAAGGCGCAACCCAGATATACCAAAGCAAGACTCTTGTTTATACTGTGGGTGCTGTACTCATTGCACATAACCGCGGTGTACGAAAGTTCGATTATCAGTACGTTAACAAAGCCTCGATATGACCAGGAAGTCAACAACCTAGGAGATGTGTTGGAAAAAAATTGGACTGTGTGGGTTATGGAAAATCATGGGAGATACTTTCAGAAACGTAATGACGCAAACGCGTTAAAGTTAAAAAAATTGACGAAAGTTTGTGAGGACATAGCGATTTGCCTTTGGGACACTGCAATAAACAAACATTCCGCTACTTGTGCACCAAGACACGTCTTAGAATTTGCGTACCAGTACATCGATAATGAAGAACCTCTTATCCACTGTTTCAAGAACAGCATTGTGTCTATGCCTTTAGAAATGCTTTTTGTGAAGGGTTTCCCATTAACGCGCGATTTTCGCAAATTGATTGGCAGGATTACATCGTCCGGTTTAATTTCTCATTGGGAAAAGCAGGTGTACAACACAAAGTTGAAGAGTAAGGTGAACAAGGGAAGACATGGCAGCCAAAATCAACTGGGAATGTCGCATTTGGTGATGGTTTTCGTTTTACTTTTTACGGGATATGTATGTGGTTTTATAGTACTTATTATCGAATTGTATGTCATGCCTAAACTATAAATCTTACGCATTCAAATACTTAGCACATGATTTCATACAATTAGTGCATTTTTATCGCTAACAGTATGAATCGATTTCCATACGAGGGCGTTTTTTTAATTGTCTACCTCCCGGATAAAGACGTCATATGTATGTATAAGCAAATTACTCAGTTGTCACCTTCGGCAATTTTGGTAGTATTTATTGTTGCGAAAAATGAGCGACCTTAGAGCATTAAAGTTGCATTTTTTGTACTAGAAAACTAAAATAGTAAGTAGTAGAGGCGGCAAATTTGTATCAGAGTGGGTCTCGAAGGTTTTATCGTATCACGATCCAGGTTCCATTTTTCTTGGGGGGAGTCTTTTTCAAGGGAGAGTCGCACCATTTGTAACCTAAAGAAAAACACAGACTGCAGCGATATCCGTAAGCTACTTTTTTATTGTATAATAAAGTATTGGTCGATTATCTACGAATTTGTAAGGGATATTTATTTAAAGTAAGCATAATATCCTTAAAGGATCTGTGAAAATTACACATGAACAGATTTGTAGTGCATTTAATGATTAATGGTAATTTGATCAAGACAAAAGAATTAAAAAAAATTACCAGGAGTTTATTGTGCATTGTGCTATAGTAACCAAGAAATGTCAAATAATACTCTCGGGGATAGTTTGTATTTATAATATGTATTTATTTAAATACAGTTTGTATTTGAAATACATTGTTAATGGTATTTTAAATACTATAATCAGAGTACTAATAGGTTTCTCCATAAGCAATGAATTTGATTCCCTATGGTAGATATGGTATTCTAAAATACTTGCCTGCTTATTTAATTTGCATGTTTTTCATTCCATAATAAAATCAATAACATTTCAATATACGTAATTAATTTTATTGCTTAAACAATAGCCACACAGTTTATGGAGAAATATAATTTTCACGGTAGTTAAGAAAATTTAAATTGTAAGAGTAAGTTTATTGACATTTCGTAGTAAAGTTTTAAATCAGATATAATTTAATTTATTATACATTAAATTATGATATATTGATTATATACCCACTCAAAAGTTTAATTTAAGAGAAAGAGTGGAATCCAATTCTTCTCTACGTTTGCAGCATCTTCAGATGGTGAATGTTATTATTCTTGAAGGGATCCAGTGCAGTTAACGCTATGAGCAGCAACCGGTTAATATTTGGTTCATCTTAAAACAGTAAGAGACAAGCACGTAGGTAAAGGGAGGAGGAGGGGAGGGTGGGATTTATAGGGTTTAAACCTTCCCCATATATGGAAGTAGAGAAGATCAATAGCAAATTTCCAAATTACAACAGATAAATCAAATGCCCACGTTTTAACTCGGAAACTGCAATATTGCATAATGTCATTAATTTTTGCGAATAGAGGTCGAAGGTTCTGAAACCTTAAAAACAGAAACTTGCTTTGCGCAGAAAAAGGCTATAAAATTAGTTTTATAAACTTACTAGCAGCCCCGGCGAACTTCCTACCGCCTTTGGGAAATCCAGTTTTTTTGGTACCCCTGTTCCCGTGGAGAGTTCTGGGAGTTCTTTCGGAATCAGAGTCAGAGCCTTCAAAGAAACCTACGCTCTAAAAGTCTCTTTTCGACTGAAAAACTTAAAATTTTTCCCGTTCCCGTGGGAATTTCGGAAAGTGACTAACTCAGAATCTTTCGCGAGTATACGTTACGTATGCCCGCGAAAGATTCTGAGTTAGTCGTCCAATCTTTCCCCAATGTTTCATCGCAATCGAAATTAATCATTTAAATAGGCATAAGAGCCATTTTGAGGACCTGGTGGTGATGTGTTGAAAATTCACACTGTGCACATTTTAAATATTTGAAAGTATTGTGAGTAAATAGATAGCTACTTGACTTTGCTTTCTGGTACTGTTTCGTTGATTTATTTCCCCCGGGTAATACAAAAATAGGTACTGCACAATTCAACACACAACGTATAATAACAATATAATAAAAGATAAGTACAATGCATATAAATACATATGGACTGTTAGGCTACTGACCATGAGCCAAACGAACCCCTCCCATACCGACTGTATACCTACGGGCTTGGTAAGAAAAGAAAGCAACGATTCTGCAAAATAAACCGGGAAGTTAGATACCTATTTATTTACGCCAATTGGAAAAAACTTTTTACAAAAATTTACATTACAACACTCGACTTTTCCTGTTCCTTCTACTTCTTTGCATTCTAGTACTAGGCGATGAATATTTTTTTCTTTCTCTCCGCATATTCCATATTTCGTTTCTTCCTCTTCTTTCCACTTTTCCCTTCCTCTCTCCTCGTTTCAAGATCTGAACCTTGCAATTATTTTGATATTCTTTCCCTCCATTAGATACTTCGGTACCCCCTCCGTTATCACCTCCCTATACCTTTTGTTTTCTCTTGAATTCTCGCTCCTCACTCTCCACAGCTGAACTTGTACATATGTTTGTTCCTTTTTGTAAGTTCTTGTTCCATCGTTTCCCTGTTTCTCTTCTCCTTTTGACATCTGCCTTTCCGTATCCGTTTCTCTTGTAATTCACTTTCCTTTTCTCTCCTTTCCTCGAATCTTACTGCCCTGCATCCGGACCCTATTCTTTATATTCTTCATTTTTATTTCCTCCTCTTGTATGTAATCTGGTGTCCTTCTTTGTATTCGTTCTAATTCGTCCCGTCCTTTCCTTCCCCATACTTCCGCCGCTCTATACATCAAAACCCCTTCCACCATTGCATCAAAAAGGTGTTCTTTTTAATTCTTAACTCCTATCCCCACACCTGCCTCATCGTTACTCCCTTCCCAAATCTTATCATCCCGGTACCTCTCTATTTTTTATCATCATTTCCTTCATCTGTTTTTCTTCTGTTGCCAATAAGTCTGTGTCATCCGAGTAATCCACGGACCATATCTTTCTTTTTCTCATCGCGATTCCTCTACTTTGTCTTAATGTTTTTTCCATATGTCTTATATTAAACAAGGTGGGGCTAAGTGGGCATCCCTCTCTCAATCCTTTTGTTATCCAGAACACTTATGAGTTATGACTCGTTTCCTCCTATATCCTTACCCTACTTCTTGTCTCTACATATAACTCATTTATTCTGTTCTTTAAATTTTTGTCTATTTTCCATTTTTCATCATTTCCCATACCTTTTCCCTTTCTACTCTGTCAAACGCTGCCCTTTCCGCTGTTTTTGTCCAATTTCTTTTGTCTTTTGTGCCCTTTTGTTTAATACATATACACGGTCGATCGATCTTTATTAAAAACAAAATGAATGCGTTAGGAGCCGATAAACCTGAGGAATTGGAACTGAAATTGGAGCGGATTAAAAAAAATGTTTGTCGAAATTGAGGCATTCTAGCTATAATTGGCATAGGAGTCCAAAGAAAGAAATCAGCGTTTTTTTATTGTACGTAGTAAATACACCAGGGGTATCACTATAGGTTTTATCCTTAGGGGGAAAAGGGGCGCGGTTTCATCCCGGAAAAATAATTGGCGGTTATAGCTTTAAGCACCGCACTTATTTCATGTATGACCTAGTCAATACTCAATAAGCAAATTCAAAGAAATAAATACCTACAATAAAAAGAGAGGAAAATGTATATATGTATATTTACCCGAAAATAGCTTTGCGTGTTAGTTGCCAAGGTGATTTAGCCGTTTTGATAGAATGCAAGTGATATATAATGTCGAATATAGAAAACTAAACATAAATATTTATTTAAAAACAAAAATACAAAGATGGCTTCAAATTTTCATAATAATATACCTAAAACCTGCTTAGTTTGCTAAATTTCTTTACAGTATGTATAAATATCTACAATTCCGTCGTTGTTTCGATGGGCGAATGATCACTGTATGAGAAACCTAGATGAGAGTAGTCTTTTTTCTCTCTAAACATCACATTGTCGTTTGTTGGACTTGTACTCATTTCATCGTCGTCTGATGATCTGCAAGGGCACCATTAGGTGTAGGATTCACTATATGGAAGCTTACCGATGATACATGCGATCACGATCTAGTTTTGATTGTAATAAATTGTGATCACCGACGCTCGATGCTCTGACTGTTGTCTCGGACTCGCTACTGACAGGGCTTCGTTGATCTGAAAAGAAGCGTGGAAACTCCCCGCTAGAAATTGCAACCTTATTCTTACTGTATTTCTTTAAATTATTATCCTTTGATATGTAACTAACGTTGTCTAAACTAAACGCATGGTTTTTATTGCTAAAGTCTAAATGTAAGTCGTTGTATTCGTCTTGGTCGTCCACCGGTACGCACATTTGTAGTACCTGCGTTTCGTACTCCTTCAGGTTGGGCTCTACGTACACCGTGTCGTAGCGCGTTGGGCTTGAGGGGGTAACATACGACCGTTGCATTTGGTCCTTGAAAGATTTGTATCTGGAAACACATCACTAGCGCCACCCTTTACAATCTCAAACCCTCACCTGGACCACGAGACACAGATGTAGATGATACCGATCGTTCCAAATATAAATATAATACAGGCTATAATGATGAGAGCATAGGGGAAAACTTCTCCGTTAAAAGCGGCTATGGCTGTCGATTTTGGCTTTATTAATACAATGGGGGTGTGAATGTTGAAGGCGGTGTGTTTTATTTGGCCGGTCACATAAAACGTGATGTTGTCCATTGACGCCTTGTCAAAAATTACCCTGGAATGTAAAATTACACAGTTGTACCTTACGCGTCTACTGTACCGTTCAACAATCGAGTCATTGACGGGAAGAATGGAATCGGTGCTTGGGTCGATGACATAAAACCAAATATCGGTTCCATGGGGGTCAACCTCCAAGGTACCATTCTCTCCGATGTATTCCCGTGTATTTAGTCTCTCTACTCCTACTATTAGGCCAGTTTGGTCTTGAATGGCGTGTATAATTGTATCGGTCTTGATGGCAACGACGTCCGGTTTCGCATCCCCTATTACCAGAATCATTCGGTTTATTTCCGAAATAAGGTTTACAATCAGCTCCATGTCAACCGAGTTGAAGTCAGTTTTGGCGTTTGGATTATCTCTTGCCGTAACTGTCAATCGTAATGGGAGATCGTCGTTTAACGCACTTAAGCTACGTTTCGTTTTTATTATTCCTGTACCTGGATCAATCGCAAAGTACTCCCTACTGTAGTTGCCAGAGAGGGAATACTTCAGTTTGCCAAATTTACCGCTGTCTTTATCGTCCGCCTAAATACACACTTTACGCATGTCGTAAGTGAGTTTGAAACTTACCTTGGTTTGAGTTACGGTGGTTGATACTGGAGCATTGTCGGGTATTGCTGCATAGTACTTTCCACCGTAATTTTCCGAGAGAATAAAGAAAGGTGCGTTATCGTTGATATCGGCCACGTTAATTGTAACTTGCGTTGTGCTAAAGTCGCGATTAATAAAGCCTTGTAAGAAATCAGTTGGACTTCTAATTGGTACGACTCCTCATTTTCGTAATCTAAGCTTCCATTCAGGTGCAAAGCGCAGTTTCGTTCCTCCGTTATGTTCACCTTAAATTTCCCTACAATACTGAGTGAAAAGGGCCCTTTCTTTCATAGCTGAAGGTACCTTGCGTGTTTCCAGAAATGATGTGACACTTCAGAGGAATATTAGTGCCGTGCGCCCGACTGTTGACAATCGTCAACGTCTTGATCAAATCTCCGTCGGTTGCGTTTTCGAAAACCTGTACACTGTAGGCATTGTCGGCGAAGCGTAATCCTACCTCAGGCGCTACTGTTGCAACATGCTGTATATAGACTTCCACGGTTATTACTGAAGACAGCTGAGGGTCACCCAAATCGTAGGCGCGCACATCGATCTGGAACAACACTTGTAGCTTGTCATTACACCTACAGAGGGGTAATCCACTGGGGAGGGAACCAGATATTCTTAGGGAATTATTGAATTACATTTATTCTAACAATGAAATTGCAACTTTGATTTGTGTTCTATCGTCTTCGTAAAACAGTTTTTTCCCTTATTAGCATGATTATTGTGAATTAGGCCCTAGGGGATCATTGTATCAGTTTCTTGATTATTTTTACAATCCACGATTTAGTACAAATTACACGCGAAATTATTTTTGGGTAACTTATGAGCTAAAAAAAAGCTCAATCATGTACTGATTACTGATTATAAGTATTGCAGTAAGGTATGCTTTAAAAATTCTTATACCAATAGGAAAACGGCTTACACAAAACTACTAAATTTAAATTGTAATATTGGATCGCTATTGAGATATTTTAAAAATTCATGATCTCAAAGTATATTTTACAGAGCGTTTAGTAATTTTTCATATACACACGTAGAGTATACTGCAGTCCAGTACCTAAATATTGAGATTTTTGTTAATTTTTATAGACTCATTTTCTTTATTTATACATATTGAGTATTTCAGCTTCCTAGCTTGAGCTAGATGACTATTACGATCATCGTTTTTTGGACATGCCAAAATTTCATCAAATGTCGACGTTTATTTTAAGCAACTTTTAAAGAATAACATTTTTGTTCCGAGATAACGACTCGACGGTTTTGTTTAAATTTTAGATCTGTATAGTAATCATACGGAAACGAAAAACAACGGACTGGATTTTGAAAAAAAATATTTGGAGTGTCATAAAGGCCACGAACTTTATTTTTCTTATCGCAACGCAAAATTTCTATTAAACTATGCGAAAGACTTTCTTGTTCTGTGTACAACCTACGAACATTATGGTTTTCTACCAAATTTTTTTTTCGACAAAACGGATATTTTGATTTCTTTCAAATTTTGGCAGGGTTCATCAGACATAAAAGACTCGAAAAGACTTTTTTAAAATTATCTGCTTTGAGCTAGGAAGCTGTTCTGTCAAGAATTTGGCATCTGATCTTCATTTTCACTATAAGGATTTCCTAAACCGCAAGAGAAACAAAGTCGCTTAAGTAGGCAAAGTTATGCAGAATTTTATGCTAATTAATTTTTCGTTTCAAAATTTCTTGTAACTCTACAATTGTTAAGCTCTGCTCAAAAAACCGAAAAATGTGATTTTCGAGAATGGACTGGCGATCAAAAGATATCAAAAAATAATTTTAACAAACCCTAGTGATTGTTTCTCATCTTTCTATATCAACTTTGTTATTTCTTATGGACGCCATAGTGAATTTTTTTCACTCGATAGAGAAATCCAGTTGCCAAATGTTGACAGAGCAGCTTCCTAGCTCAAAGCAAATATTTAACAAAAAAAAAACGTTTTTGACAGTCTGACATCATTTATGTCTAATATGCATTGCCAAAAGTCATATTAATTTGCTGTATGTGCCGTTTTATTACTTAAACACTACATTGTTTCCCACAGGAAAATTGTTGATGACCTCTTACAGAATTCAATATAATTTGGATGTCATATCTTAAATTAAACGATAATTAATTACGCTAAATTTTGTACTGGGACGTAAATAAGCTAAAAACGAATCTGCGAAATACTGAGTAGGGCGAATGCTATGCAACACAAAATATAAACGTCTATTTTGCAAAATTTATAGATTTACTAAATTCAGAAATTAATGATTGTCAGTTGCACAACAATATGCCCAAAAAATTAACTAAAGCTAAATCTGTTACCCTCTGGTAGAACATTAATCTGTTAAAAAAACGCAAAAAAAAAGAAGGAAGCTTTATATGTAGCCAAGAAGCGTCCTTACGACTGCAATTTTAACTTATATTATATTATAAAAACATAGCTCCTTTAATTGTACCTGTTCTTGTTCATAGCTAACCTAAGTTTTAGTACTGGTAAATTTCCTGAAGTCTTAAAATTAAGTGTGATAGTTCCAATTTTCAAAAAAGAGCCTACGATAAGGTTGGATAATATAAAGCCAATCAGCTTATTAGTATCAGTGTTTTCAAAGATTTTAGAGATCCCAAATTAATAATACCAATTACTTAGTAATCAATTCGGAAATTAATCTTGAAGGTTTGCATTGAAGTTTACAATGAATTTTTTATAGCAATAATTTCATGACTTGCTTATAATTATTTATTTTTCGTTTATTGTCTGCAATTTCTTATTTATGTATTTATATCAAATATATTGGTATTTCCGATTTTATATTTTTTTCTCTATCTAGGTAGTGTAAAAATCCAATATGATGTCCATAAGAAATAAGAAAGTTGATGTGATTGACTCGAAACCCACAAGTCATAAAACTTTGATTTTAGCATCGTCAGAAAGCTAAAAAAAATCACTAAAAGTTTGTAAAATTATTTTCTGATATCTTCCAACATAAATGAACGCTAGCACGTTCTCGGAAATTACATTTTTCGGTTTTTTGGTCATAACTACGAGAACTTTTGAAAGGGAAAATTAATCAGCATAAAATTCTACATAACTTTGCCAATTTAAGCGACTTTGTATCTCTTACGGTTTACCATAGTCAAAATGAAAAAAAAACTCACCTTGTACAATAATATCTTTTTTTATTTCTGTAAGATACAAATTTTTAGGCCAAATTTGCCGCCCCCTGAAATTTGCCGCCCTAGGCTCCAGCCTACTCAACCTGCTGGTACATCCTCAACTGGATCGGGGTGAATTTATTAGAGACCGTGAATTCAAGACAAAAACCTGAATCCTGACCAGCAACTTAGGCTTAGTGAGACTGCTGAGAGCATAAAATTCAACTTGTAGAAAATGTCAAACCCATCAAATAGCGACATTATCCAGTTTCGCCTGCTTTATTGAATTGCAGCAAATGTTGGATAAGGGTGCCATCGAACCCTGGACTAGTCCTTTCAGTTGCCCGCTTGTGATGGTAAAAAAAGATTGGGCCGGTTCGTCAGCTCAATAAAGTTACTAAGGTCTACATTCTGTATTGGCTACGGTATGTCAGATTTTTAACCACTTTGGACATAAAATCGGCTTCGAAAATACAGTTCCAAGAAATTATTCAGTAACTGCGGAAGTTACATGAAAATTATGAAATATTTGGGATTTGGTGTACATATTCCAGTCGACAAATTACCCCCCGTTGCAACTCTTACCTGGTACTCTGTGTCAATTTCTTTCCGAAAATCATTAATGACCTTTAAAATGCCCGAATCAGGATCGATCTGGAAGTAATTAGTTGCCTTGCCTCTTCCAATCACCTCGTATCGGACCTAGACAGCAGAGAAATTAAATTGAAAAGCGGAAAGGAGGAGGCTTACTTTGTTACCCGGCGCGGTACCGTCGGAGTCTGTTGCGATGAGATTCGTAACGGAGGTACCGATCGAAACGTCGTCGTCCAAAGTTATGGGGTGCGGAATTATGGTGAACACTGGTGGAATATCGTTGCGATCCTAAAACAAATGGCTTAACTTCCAACTATTGGCAAATTTCCTGATTACCTCCACATGAACCATCACCTTTGTGGTACTTCCTTTTTCATTTGACATATTTTCTAGGGTTCCTATTACTAAAACATGCTCATTCTCCCGCTCGTAATCCAAACCCCTTGTCGTGTAAACAGATCCCGTAGTTTCATCAATTCTAAAGAGATCGGTCGGGCCTTGTTGAATGACGTAAGTGATTTTCTTGATGGTGTCCGGATCTTGTGCCTAGAAATGACGTGATCATTTTGTATAACTGATGCCACTTATACCATGACTGCAGTCACAAAGTAGTCGGGTATGTTTTCGGGTACCGATGCCTCGTAAACGGACTGACGAAATATAGGAACTTCATCTTCAATATCGATTACTGCAATTGACACTGTAGCGGTGGCAATTCTCGGATCGGGAGCACCATCTTTTGCGGTGATCACGAATTGGTAACTCTAGAAATATCGAATAACGCCTTTCCCTTTGTTTCCAAATCGGACTCACCTGCTGTTCTTCGTAATCTAAGGCTTGAGTCGTGGTTACCTCCCCTGTTTCACGGTCGACATTAAAAGGAAGACCGCTGGGAATTGAATAACTGATGACGGCGTTTACCCCTTCATCTGCATCCGTAGCGTGCACGAACCCAACGGTAGTTTTGCTAATACCTTCTTTGACAGAGAAGGTGTAGGGATCTCCGATAAACTCAGGATTCTTGTCGTTGACGTCAGTGATTTTAATGTTAACTATAACAGTGCTGGACAATTTCCCATTGTCTTCCGCTTTGATTACCTACAACTCTTCGGTTAAAAGTTGATTAATTGTGTTTACGGTACCAATTGATAGCGGGTTAAGTCTTCCCTGTCTAACTTCCGAATCACTGTCAGTACGCCCGAGGTCGCGCCGATCGCAAACTGTCTTAAGTCGTTACCGGAGACAATACTATAAGAAACTGGGTCGTTTTCTGGGTCAACTGCCTGGAATTAAACACTCGAGCATCCCATTCAGCCTAAATTGCAAGAAACTTACCACAATAGTAGCGACCGTGGAGTTAATAGTCGCCCCTTCGCTCACCTCTATGTCGTACACCGCCTGTTCGAAAACCGGACTTTTTGTATTGGGACCCGGACTCACTGTTACCTCAACAATAACTTGGCTATTCAACCCTCCTCTGTCAGTCGCTTTCACAGTCAAACTGTACTGTTCACCAGCGTGCAACTTTCCAACAGTCTCGAGGAGTCCAGTCTTCGAGTTTATAATAAATTTATTATTGCCATTGTTCGAAACGTGGTAAATTGAGTATGTTACAAGCGCGTTTTCCCCCACGTCGTTATCTGTTGCGGTAACCGTTATAATCGGGCGTCTAGTGTCACCTGCAGGTACCGTGACTGGTGGTACCATGGGCAGTACAGGTGGATTATCGTTAACGTCATTCAAGTGAATCGTTAGGGATATGGGCGGACTGGCGGCCTTTCCTTTTTTCTCGCGTGCGACGACTTGAAATCGAAATCGACCAGGATTTGGCGGATCACGGTCGAGATTATTATCGTTCACGATAAGGTGGCCTTGGGAGTCGATGTCAAAGAATGGCGTCGTAAGTTCGTACACATACTCGGGTTTTATGTCGTTAGGACCCTGAGTAATACAAATTTAATGAGGAGACGCTTGGATGAATACTCACAAAATCTTTGTCTACCACTGTGAATTCCAACGGTTTTCCTTCGGAATCCACGACTACGGTTCCCACTGGAGAATTTTCATCCACGAAACCTTCGGCTGATGACACGAAGATTTCGGGTGGATTCGCGTCCACAGGTTTAACCGTTATAAGCAGTTTGGCGGTAGTTGAGCGCTTTGCTTCTGATTTTTCTTGTGCCTGAATAGGTGCGTCATTTTACTGAGATATGATCGATTGTTTGTTACCTTGATGATGATTGTAAACATTTTGGTGGTGGAGGTGTCTACTGCCTTAATTTGGTGTATAGCTCCCGTTTCTGAATTGATTTTGAAATACTCAGAGTAAGACAGTGGGGTGCCGCTTGCAAAGCTGTATTCAATAGGGGAGTTGATCGTATCCATGTCTACCGCTTGAATCCTTTCGGGGTATATTGCAAGTACTCCGTGGAGTATGCCGCTTGATACCTAAACTAATAGTGTTACTACCTTCATTTGGCAATTAGGCGAGTACCGAAGCAGAATATTCAGGATTGATGCAAGCGCCGTCGAGTAACATACAACCTTGATAAATAAACGCAGGGTTCTGGTCATCGTCGTCTTTAATATTCACCGTAAGCGTTGTAGTTGATGACAGTCGTTCTTCGACATTCTTTGCTCGGTCCTAGAACACTACGTCAAAAATGTTGCGGGAAGATGCACCAACTTACGGACGCAACAATGGTGACGTAGTACCGCTGGGTCTTTTCGTAATCAAGCGTTCTATTGACAGTTATCTGTCCTTGATGGGGCAGGTTGATCGCGAAGAATCCGTAACCATCAGCACTCGTCACCCTCGCCCTTCCAATACCTTGCTCGTAGCCAACTCCCGTCGAGTTTCCCTCGACTATCTTGTACTCGACGAGACCGTTAACTCCGATATCTTTATCTTTGGCCAAGACATGATGGTAAATCGTCGTTCCAATTGGTGTCAATTCAGATATACTAACTTCGTAAGGTGTATTTATAAATTCAGGTGCATTATCGTTAATATCAGTCAGTCTTACAATCACAGGAATGGTTTTCTTCTTACGCGTCAACTTTACTGTACATGATAACTGAAAAATTCGTAAAATGAAACGTTGTAAAGAAAGGACCAAATTACCTGAAAGACTATATGAGATAAACTATCTTCATCCCTATCTAATGGTGACAGTAATTGCAGCTTTTTTCCGTTAAGAAAAAAGATCGGCGCCCCCTTTGGAAAAACTAAATCTAGAAAAACGTCTACGTTGGGTTCACCTCCTATTGGTAACTCTGGCGGGTTTGTCTCTTGGCTTACGGCTGAAATTGCTTTACGTAATTTACGTTAAGTATTAAATAATAAGCACTTACATGTCCCTCTACTTTCTTCTATATCTACAATTATATTTGATTGACCGTTTTCTACCTCGCATGGTCCTAAAAAATGATAACACATTAAGCAGGTAATGCAGAAATTTAAGTGTTGATGCGGTCTAAATGTTTAGACGAAAGTTTCAAGTCACTGTTCTCGTTTTGGAAAAATGACCTAAATTTATGTAACCTTGATGAGACTCCTGGGAAAATCGATTGCGTATTTAATTTTGTCAATATAAGAACTGTAATATACGTAATATGGCACCCTTATATGGCATGTGGTAATTAGCTACATAGTCGTCTGCACTCAATGTAAAAAAATTGAATAATCGCTTTCGTCAGATCATATCCAGAAGTGATTGTGAGTAATTACACAGAGACTTGTAAATACTTCATTCTCTTTCACAGTTGTAACTAGCATAATTGTTTGATTTGCTATAATGGCAATTAGTATTGATCAAAGCACTTCTTTTTGGAAACTTTTGGCACCATTGTGCTACATTGTAACATAACGATGCCATTAAGGCGCATCTAAACTGTTCTGTACGTGAGTTAAGCCGCGGACTTGTTAATCCTCATAATTATGCTAGTTAGCATAATTTAATCAGGTTAATTTTGACAAGCAGCATGATGTTGGAGACAAATTACTGACATAATACAAACTGAAATTGATAAGCCCTAGCATTGCTTTTTTTGTCTGCATCAGGATGTTCTTCAAAACATGTATACTTACACCGTTCGGAATTTGCTTGCATCTAAGGCTAATACTCAACATTCAAGAGGGCGAATGATTTGTACAAAGACAATCTATAACCTGATCGACTCAGGCCGACTGATTTTTTTAGTCCAACCCCCCGTTACTTTATTAACTCAAAACTCAACCCCAATGCTTCGAATGAACTAAAGAATTACATGAGAATTATCTAGTTTTGTTTTATAGACTGGTTTTTCACTTTTTCTTTTGATATACTCGTCAGAATTGTATCAAAATTAATTCGTTAATTAAAATTCGGTGTTAGCGATTGTTTTTAAAGCTTATTTCATTGTATAATAAAAAAGGAATTGTAAAACGTTACAAGAAGAAAAAAAAAGCGGACAAGATTTAAGTGCCTTTCCAAGTTTTTAAGCTCCGAACGTTCCACAAATGTGCATTTTGAAAGAATCGTATTCCTTTGCTTTCCCATTTCTCTGTAATTCAGAAACTTTCTTGTCAGATTTTTCTTTTAGAAACAGGACAATTCTCCCAAAATTGTGCGTTCTGAAAAAAGGGCCACGGCGAATAACATTTTAAGGAAATGTTAAGTTTTTCTCAGAATTGTATGAAATAATAGGTTATCATTGCTAAAGAATATTCATTGATATTTGTATTCGCAATTAACACATTTCACAAGATTAATTAAAATCAAATTAGGTACTTGTGTAAACTACGGCACACGACGTGTTCGTTTTTTTGAACGGAAAAAAATTTAAATAAATTATTCTGTATAGTATAAAATAATGAGTGAATTTACAGTGCGTTTGAAATAAGGGGGTCACCTCAATATCTCTTTTATTTGGCGAGATACGAAAAATTTGTCAAATATAGTTTTATATGTGACATTACGATTTATCTGATCGTATATTCAAACTTCAGGCCCAACTTCCGGTTTAACCGAAAATCGATGCAACTTTTGTTTTTCAAATACAATGCCTATGTTTTTTTACGATATTTGAAAAGAGCAATCAATTTTCTGTACGTCAACACAAAATATGCATATGGTTGATATGCAAAAAATCGAGTTCCCTGTGCCCACAAGTACCTTTAGCAAGTTAAGGATCAATCTACATTAGAGACAGTGTGGCCATATGCTCATATCCGCCATTTTTTTTCAAATTTATCATTGAGCTTATGGTGCTATTTACGCAAATGCCCATTTCTTTTCAGTTATCAATCGTAATAACCTGGGAAAAATGAACAAAAAGCCTTCACGTTCAGGCATATACTGAAAACAAAGACCTTATCGCCGTTTTTTTTCATTATTTACATTGTTCATAATGGATTGCCTCGCAGAAACACATTTTCTCTTACTTTTCTGACAATTTTCAGTTTTCGTTTTCCATCCACTCTAGTTTTTTCCTACATGTCGGTTTCAAAAGTGTCTAAAATTCAACATGCTAGAGATATGAATTTAATTTTACTTAGGTACTTCGAGAAAAAATTACGACAACATACGAGAACTTGAGAAAAAATCTTTGAGGAAATTTGAGAATCATTTGAGAGTAAATAGGGGAGAATTTAAGGGAGCTTATAGGAAGTGTTGATAAAAATCGTGATTTTTCTGTAAATTAAAAATAATCAGATTGTTTACTTGAATCGATTTTTTAAATTTACATTTGATTTGTTCATGATCAGTTATGGATTCTTTTGGATGAATCCTTTCAAATCAATTCGTTCGAACGAAATATTTCGCATCCATCGTCTTATATACAGCTTCACTATCGAATTGTACGACAATTATAGAATTTTAAAAAAATGTCATGTGAGCTTCCAGTATCAGAATCTGTACCAAAACCATTTGATTGTCCCCAAACATGTGTAGGTGCTTAAACCATTGATTAACAAATATGTTAATATATGGTGTTATTAGTGTCGTAATTACGTTCATAAAACGTGCGCTGTTTAATTATATCACATTGATGGTATTACAAGGCTAATGGTTATCATTTTCATTTCACTTATAATGGACAAACCACTTACATAACAATGTAAAAAGGACAGTATGGACCATTATGGAATTAATCGACCATTCACGCGTTTAATGCAGACGGCCCTGCTAAGTTATCCGCACCGATACACCGTTCAGCTTTTATTTTGCGTTTACTGCATGGATCACTGCTGATACTATGTACCGTTCTCAGTGAAAAACGGGATTAGAAATTTGGACATACCAGGATACTTGGGTAATTATTTAAATCTTAACTTGATATCCAGTATAAGTAAATGCTTATTTCCTAGCGTGGCGATTTCAATACCTACCAAGAAGGTTTCCTAGATTTTTATAGCTTAACGCTTTCTGGCATAGGTCTTACCGCACCAATAATTTAAAACAAACATACAAAAATCAGTGGTTTTTACTTTTTTAGCTGTCCTCAAGTTTTTTTCAGTGCCATAAATGTTGTGCCATGTCATGAAGATAATTATTTATGATTGAAACAATCAATAAAAGCAAGACTCTAGTTTAAATTAGTCGCTCATCAAGGTCGTAAAATAAAAAAAAGCAAAATTAAGAAAATAACAGTTTCCATCTCTTACCTGCTTTAGCCACGGTCACGTGAACAAACCCCAGGAGCAGAATGCACGTCTTCAAAACGGTGACAGCCATTCAGTGCACCTGAAAAGAACATTGTATGTTACGATCGATCCTCGTCATTATCTTGTACAAACAATAACCTGCGATTTGTTGTAATATACAGGAAGCATTACGAAACATTATAGTGCAATAACTTGGTAACATGTTAGGTACTACCATTAAAGTGTATATACAATGGTACTAACTACATGTTTATTCGCATTTAACATTCTGCAGAATTTTCTTTTATTAAGCATTAGCTAATGTATTTTAACGTAGTGATTAAATAAGATGCCCACCAAAAAATTAAGCAGTCGAAGTCCATTTCATCTACTGTATTTAATTAATTTACCGCTACAAGCGGCTAAAGATGTTTATATTACATTTACATACGTGTGTAGTAAATGATCTTGCCTTTTTTAGCGTAACAAAACGAAGTGTGTGCTCGATTTTTTAAGATATTGTCGCAAGAATTTTGCCAAAATTAAAACATTAAAAGCGAGCAGAGCTGGGTAGTATTCGATTTTGTAAATACTTTTTAGTATTCAAATCCTTTAAACTATTCAAATACCTTGTAATTAAATACTTTTATGGAAGCAGTATTTGTATTTGTATTTCACAAATATTTAGTATTCGAATACTTAGCAAAGTATTTGGATACTTCGTAAAGTATTCGAATACTTCGCAAGGAATTTGAATACTTTGAGAAATATTCAAATACTTTGCATAGTATTTGAATACTTAACCTTCCGTTTTCACCAAAAATCGACTGCACCAACATTTCTCGGGAAAACACTTTTTCTTATTAATTTTGGTGCGTAGAATCCAAAATAATTCGTACTCTTTCGATCAGACTTCTCAATCAATAGTTATAGACTAGAAACCAATTTCGAAAGAAAATTCAAAGGGCTGTAATTTTTGAACTAGTAGCACAATCTTGGAACTGTTTGAAATTATGGATTCTACGGGCCAAATTCTATAAGAAAATGTTTTTTCTCGGTCGATCTCAGAGAATTTTTTTTTCCGGCCTCAAAAAAAGGCAGTACAATAGGGACCTTTCTTATATCCTTAAGACCATATGTACCAATTTTCAAAGCGATCGCAGGTTTCTAAATAAACTATCATGCACACGGACAAACGGATGGTCAAAAAAGGATCTGTTCCAAAATCGCTAGGATTAATTTCAGAAAGGCGTACGTATCATGTTCACGACGACTGGTACGCATATTCTTAAGGATATAACTGGTATAAGAAAGGTCCTGGTAAGTACCTCCTATATAATAATTTAATAATAATAATAATACGCTTTTACTCCCCTTAAATTTGTATACGAGTATAACAATAGAAATATAAAAAAAGCTAACCCCATACAAAGTATAACTTGATTTTTAAGTAGTATTCAAACTTTTATCTAGTATACTACTTTAAATTTTTAATGTATTTGAGTGACAAAACGTGTTTGAATACTTTTTATAGTATTCGAATACCTTTGATAGTATTAGAATAGAATACTTTTGAAAGTATTCGAATACATTCTAAAGTATTATGAATACTTATTTTTTAAAGTATTTGAATACTTTTCAATGTATCTGTATCTAGTATTCGCTTGTGCTGGACGAAAAAGTATTTAGTATTCAAATACCTTTGATTTGTGTAAAGTATTTACTATGTAGTGCTCAAATACTGCCCAGCTCTGAAAGCGAGACAATTTTTCCCTTAGAGAATGGCGCTTTTTTGTACAATTTTTGTATTAATGTATTTATTCATGATGCATACCTCCTTTCGTAATATAATCTTTTATTTGTATTGGAGTCTGAACAACCGCTCTTAATGGGTTTTTCTATATAGATGACGCTTGTCCATTTGGACAATTTGGTGGGATATTATAATAGTTATGTTGGACACATAACTATTATAATATCCCACCTATCTGACATAGGCCACAATTTCATTATAGAAACGTCCAAATCCTTTAAGTCCAGGTGAATTAACAATTTTTATTTAAAAAAAAAAGTTTTTTGCCAAAAAAAACGAATATTACGGAAACCTTTTAATTTTTTATATTGAAAAAATGTGTAGTTATTTGTCTCGTTAAAAGAAAATCATTTTTTCGGAAATGAACAATAAAAAACAAAAAAACACTTTTGCCGGAAATTGCCGTCATGCGATTTTCGCCCCTTTTCACCCTCCCCAATTAATAGATTTTGAAAAATTATTCGCAGCATAGTGTCCAACTTTCGAATGTTCGGCGCCCTATTGCCTTCGCGCCCTTTTGTCCTCGTGCTTTTTTGTGTTTGCGCCTTATTGTCTTGTGCTGATGTAATATACTACGCCCCATTTGAGGCATCTAACCGCCAACAATGGATTTAGTACCAAACATCTCTGTGAAACGGCAGGAGTAAACTCGTGATTGACACACTTCGAATCTGTGCTGAAATAAGTGTGTTACTTGATAAATTAGTTGCATTCCTTTTTTTGCGCGATTGTTGACGCGCTTGTAATGAGGTTTAATGCAGTAACTCTGTGTAACAGTTCTTTAAGTAAAGGATTACATAATAAAAATACTCGTCGAGAGAATGTCATAAGAACTTTGATGTAGAGAATGCATCACCGAATCGAATGAAGTACAAGATCAAGCTTTTTTTACCTAAAATAAAACATAAACGACTACAGAGAACACTACATTTATCATCTCGCTCGAGCTACTTAACCAGACCGGATTACCGTTACGATTTCATCATTGACTCACTCTCTGGGTTACAACTTGGTTACTTATTTAAAATGTTCACCTGGGACTGAAAACAAATTTAAATTATTGACGGAAATTTTCACCTTCTCAACAGTAACCTTTGTCATGTCCTACATAGTACGCTAATATATGCATGACCCGGCAATCTTGTGTAAGTAGATGCTGTACAGTTAGGTATAGATTTAATTTATAACTTCTAAGTAGGTAATTTACAGATATCGGATGTACTTTATTGCATAACGTTCCTGGCGCACAGGAAGGTAACGATTGCCACAAGTGTGAAATTTGCTAAACAAAAGGATACAGGATGGGGCGTATGTGGTACCCCATTGCAATATTTTTCACGATACTGATGTTATCCATAATCGAAGAGTCTTTTGACCTGTGTCTTACGTCCTGCTTTTTGCTTCTGTGTCACGGTCTTGCGATTTGAATAAATTACCTATTACTATCGGCAAAACCATCGAAACGGTATATAGAGAATATAAGAGTACGGTCGACACGTACCTGATAATGGTACACATATTTGCAACCCTTACGTTTTCTAGTAATAGTCCATCATTTATATAAATTGGAACACACATCCGATTCACAAACGAGATAAATCATGCTGGGACGATTTATTCAAAATCATGCGTAAGTAGATCAATCTCTTGATATTGAAGACACTCAACGACACAATTACCACCCAAAAACATGGTTCGTTCGTTAGCGACGCACAATAACCCTTGATTCTATTGGTCATTTTTTAATGATCTAATGATAGTAATGATTGTAGAAGCACACAATTTGTTAAATTTGAAAATGCAGTCTGTGGACACAAAATGATTCGATGCTGTGTCGACACTTGACGAAGACTGCAGGGAATGTTGAAGAGGATGCACGATCTTCAGTAAAATCCAAAAGTTTCAGAAACTCGGCGATTTTCTTTGGCAACCGAAAAAGGGTGTTCATACCAACGGATTACACGGTGCATTTGCTAATTTTGTAGTTCATTACTCAATGGTATCTTCGTTTTCAATACTCCGAGCAATACTCCCATTTGTATAAATCTATTTCGGCTAAAGGTTTTGCATCGAGTATACAAAAAAGTCACATATAACATAATTATATTAAGGACGTCATGCGAGAAGTGCGTATGAACATTTTTTATCAAAAATTGCTTTTACGCCTAATGAATAACTTCCAATCCAATAATGTCCCGCAGAAAGGGCGTATTACTATATATCCTTAGAATGTGGGAATTTTTATTTAAAAAAGGCGTAACCACTGATAAAAAAGGGGGTAAGATCAAAAATATACTCTGATTGTTTTTTTATTCAAAGATACACAAGAATAACTAGAGCATATTCACTGTAAGTAATGAGAAATAACCACCCTAAATTAAATTTCAGTAGAATAATAAATTTGTGAAATAAATCGTTTTTTTCATTTCCTGAAAACTCACATTTTTGTTGATATGCCCTTCTCCCATGACGCCCTCGATATGATACTAGATATTCCCCCGCGACTTCTAGTCAAGGCCACTTTCCAGTAAAAGCTCTTCTTGCGACACGGCTTTTTGTTATACAGCAAATAGGTACGTCTTGTGGCTTGGAAAATATAATACAAAAAGATCTAAATACTGGTAATTTAAAGATATGGTTTACTGTTACAAATCAGCTTTAAGTGAAAAAACCAAGTTGGTTAATTTTTCATTGAGTCTTAAAGGCAACAGAATTAACAATATGTATTTTAAATGTGGAAACTGTTTAAAGGAAGAAAAAAATTCAAATGTTTGTTAATTGTATTGTGGTTGAGCAGGTGTGTAATATAAAGTATCTGGGTATACATCTGGATGAAAACTGGAATTGGAAGAACCATATAATTGGGGTAAAAAAATATGGTTTTGAGGAAATTTTATTTATTAAAGTTTGTTTGTCCACTGGCTGTCTTGCGAACAATTTATTTTGCGATTGTAGAAAGTGAAATACAGTACGGGTTGTCGTTGTCCTGCTGGGATGGGGCCTATACTACTACAGTCCATCCTATTTTTGTAGCGCAAAAAAGATAGACAGATTTTTCGCGTTAGGAGGGGTGAGCATTCTTATCCATTCTTTAAAATTCTGAAACTACCTACTTCCATTTAGACACCTCTACATCTTCATAGTTTTACGTATTTATTTAAGGGGTGGCCAATCAGTTTCAAACTCTCTGGTGTATTCAGCTAGGTTAAGATATCTAAATTGTGCAGTAATTCCGAAACCTACATCTGAAGCGTTTAAACGATTTTATTCCTATACCTCCGTAACCT